GCTCATGCATGGAGGCACCACAATTCTCATGCCTGCAGGTTGCACCATCAAGATTTAAGTGATCCACCATCGGTCCTCTGAAGAGTTCGAGAAAGACGGACACCTTCGGGCCCTCGCTGCGGTTTCAGCTGATACACTATGGTTGCTCCTGGCTCACATGTTGACTCGAAGTTGGGATTATAACATACGACCCGCATATGTCTTTAGTCCATTAGCAATCAAAACACGAAATGTCGTTGACGCACCTCGAATTTTAGAGCTGGGCGTCGCACTCGTCTCATGAGTTTGTTGTGCTCCCTCGGACGGAGGTGCCGCGCATCATCTGATCTTCATGCCGTCACAAGAACTCGTGAGACAAGGGATATAATTGCTTAAAGAAAAACAGCTCAGCCCCTCACACCTGATGTCGAATCGTCTAAAAGCAAGTGAGCTCGGAGGGAATCCAACAAGAACTAACTTATATACAAGCCAAAGTATAATGATTCAACATTCTGTGTACTGCCTGAAATTGCGTTGCCAGGCATAGGTACCTCAGGTTGCATCGTCATGCAAAAGGACGTATTCCCGATTTGACAATCCAAATTTGATGACTGCAACAAGTTCTGTAGGTGAATAAAAATACTCATGTGGAATGAGAAGCACTCACCATCACCCGCTTTGAGTTCGTAGAACCGTGATGTCGGAATGGCCTCATCGTTGACATGTGTACTATTTGTAGACTCTAGGTCGATGATGAAAGGCCTGTATTCTCAGTTGTAAGAGATAGCCACAAGAGCAAACATAATAACACGCACTTGTTCTTCGATTTTGAGGTGCCGAATTCATCTTTCTCCATTACCTGACGATCTAGAGTTGTTGTAAATAAGATGCCAACTAGAATTTTAGATAAATACTGCTACTCACGCTGGATCACAGCATGCTGCTTCGAGCAGGAGGGATGTTCGATTAAGATATCGGTGACGGTACGATCACGTCCAATTAGATAGGCGCTTTGGCGATGAATGTGGAGTAATTCTGCCTAAAAGTCAATACTGGGTATCAGAAGAGAAACATATAGCACTGACCAAGTTGCTCGCTTCCTTTGAACACGTACAACCTCCAACCCAGAGTGGGCTTTCTTGCTTCCGGGGGTTCGTTATATTTTAGGATTGTGCTCGTGCCGTCAGTCAACTTGACAGCATTTGTCTCTGCAGCCAGCAACCCAGAATTAGCAAAGTTGGGTTTGGCCTTGTCGATAGGTGGAGGGGACTTGGACTGAGAGCTAGAGCGTGGGGGAGCGGAGGGTTGAATAGAAGATGGTGGTTTTGGGGATGCAGAACGACGAGACGAGGCTGCGAAGTCTCTACTTCGGCGCCTGCTGGGTCGGTCACCGTCATCTCGACCATCCCTACCCCGTTCGCGGTTGGGCCTGCTGGGCCGGTCATGGTCATCTTGACCTTCTCTGTCCCTTTCGCGGTTAGGCCTTCTAGAATCACGATCACGGTCACGATGACCGTCTCTTCTACGATAATCATCATGTCTGGCACGTCTATCATCGTCATCGTTATTCCTTCGCCTGTCTGAATCACGCTCATAGTCTGCACGCTCCATTCTAGGATAATCTTTCTTTCCTTTTCTTCCAGAACGGTCTTCTTCTCCTCGGGTACGGAACCGTCTTCTCGGTGAGGCTGAGGTGTCGCGAGGCATAAGTAGTTCTGGAATCTGCAGTGCAAGGCTCTAAGAACTGGAACAACTGCGAGTTTCAATGAGGTGAAAGTACTCTAAGACTGTACTTAGTCCTTCTTGCTGAGTCATCAACATGCTTCATTCAATTTGCCGTTGAACGTTAACGTTAACCCATTTTGACAATAGACATAACGTGCACGTGGGTGACAAATAGTGTCCAATACAATTATTTCACAAAGACTCCAGGTTTTGGCCATGCTACCCTCTTGAGTCGTGACAATCAAGTGACTTGCCACTAGTTGAAACAAGACTTTTACATCAAAACCAATGCAACCGTAGATATAACCGTAGCCCCTAAAGCAGCATAGCCAGCCCTGTATGCTCCTTTGAGACTCAAAACTTTGAGAACCACGTGAGTAGTCATTAACAAAACAAGACATAGGTGACATACATTTACCCATGTCCCAGCTCAAGTGTCGGAGACCATTCCAGAAGTGGAAAGTGAAAGGTGCAGCCAGGATAACCTTGCCGGTGTACTTCACGTAGTCTGGCAGCCCAGCAACGAACTCAACAATGTGAGCGCTATCGAAAGTGTCTGGAGCAATGAGGTATGCCAACGAAAAGCCATATAGGACTGTATGATATCATGATTACACCACATTTCAGTCATTCGTGAGGAATCGGGACATACGCGCGCTGAGTGCCCCGCCAGTTACACGATTTGCAATTGAGCCAAGCCATGTCAGCTGAGGTTGGTAGATTGTGAAATGAGGGCTGGAAGGGCGTTTAAGACGCTGAGCATTTAGAATCTCTTCCGAAGCTGATGGAGGCAAGGACTGTATCTGCACACCACTAAAATGCATTCAAAAATGACAGTTCAAAATCACGACAATTATCCTTACCGCTTGGGAATCAATGTACGCAAAACAGTTTGGTTTCTCCCTGTAACAAGTATGTAATCGTACCACTTTCATGAATTATGATGCGCACTTACCAATGACTGGAGCGAACGCCACTCTCCTCGTAGCAGAACCAAGCCCAATGCGAGCGGACATCATGGTGAAGGTGGAAAAGTGATTTGTGGAAACTAACGGCGATAGACGGAACCGGATCGTGGGAAATATATATATCGGGGTTTCCAGTGATCCCGTTTTGCCTGTGCGGTATAGGCTCGGGACCAGGTCACGAGTCTACTGTGCGGTGTGGACCACCATGACCTCATATAGACCTCGAGAGTACTTTGTACTTACCGACGCTGGAAAACCTGTATTCACTAGGTGAGGCTATTGATGCACTCAGTGAGGTCCAATGATGATAATCACTGTTTAGTCGCCCTGATGGGCAGGACCGTGGACGTTGAGAATCTATCCTCTATCATGGGCATAGTTCAAGCGCTTTTGTCAGTCTTCCTCGACGACGGCGATAAGCTACGCTGTATAAATGCCGGAAGATTGCGGATAACCTTCCTGCTTCGGTCTCCCCTGTATTATGTTTGCGCATCATCGTGGGGTGAGCCAGAGTCTGTCGTGAGTGGTGGCCTCGTGTTTTGGATATTTATTCGTGGGTCGATTAATTTGGACCAGAAAGACTCGCTCACACCTCGAGTATTTACATCTACAAATACTGAGCATCGTCACGGCATCCCAATTGAGACGCATCTTCGAGCGTCGCACGAACTTTGACTTACGTAGGTTATTAGACGGTACGATAATTCACCTTCATTGTGCCTTGAAGTTTTTTGATCTTGCCCAAAAAATAGGCTCGGAACCATTTTTGTTTTCGTTGTTAGGTCGAATGGAACTCGACCTTGCAATGGCGACTTCTTCCTTGAATTGTCTACAGTTGGATCAGAGCTTGCGAGCGCGTGTTGCTGAAGCACTGGTACCGACCTCAAAGATGAAGGTCAAACCTTCTGCTGCACGTGAAGGATCGAAGTGTTAATGAGAATTTGGCTCCAGGATACCCTCTACATCATTTTAGTCGCACGGGGTCAGGTCATAACATTGGTGCGACCTAAAAAGCATTCAATACACCCTGCTGGCACGTACCCTCTCTCTATTCTGACGTGCGACCTTCATATATACTTGTTGCAGACATACACATTCTCGTCAATACCGTTTATTCTCCATCTATAGTCAACTCGCCTGCATCTGCATCATGGATTCCAGTTTGTCTACCGAAGTTCAACCCCGCTGGTTTTGTCAACGCATATATCACTTTTTTACATCGCCCTGACACAGACTATAATTTTCATCAGAGGACAACACTCGAGAACAATGAAAGTGCAGATATCACTGGCGCCAGTCATTGCCGAGAACCGTCGTGGTACCCCTTCACGGCACACAATCAGGCTCATAGAAGATTCTGGCATTGGACTTGTGTGCATCAGCGGAGGGTCAGAGTTCGAGACTGCGAGCATGGTGCGACATCGTCACTCAGGTGTGCTAGACTATTTACCTTAAGCTCATTCATGTCGCTGACATTGACCCCAGAAATTAAATGACGATGGATCCCTCGACACGCTGGCCAGAGCTGTCGACTCCGGGAAAACACGCTACTTTGCCTCTCAGCTGGGGATACCTGGATTGCGTCACTTTGTTTATAAGTCGAGGCCGCATGTTCAAATTACCTTACCGGCTTTTGAGGAGCCTTATGATACCCTCGATGCGAAGAGAAGGTAATCGGTCCTAGAACTCTTCATTCGCAGCGTGCTCAACCACGGAAAATAGGATAGTCACATTGTACCAGATCGTACATGACGCCATACACGCAAAATCTGGGCAAACAGGAAACTTCAAGCTACAATACATTCGTACGGAAAAGGAAATAGTCATGGGTTGGGCAAGTGTTTGGCTGCTCAACACCGCTTGGTCTAATCTTGTGACTTCAGATAACGCAACCGTTCGAATTGTATATGGTCTTATCGCCACGGTTACCCAAGGCTGCGGTGATCAATGCTGCAAACGCGCCCAGAGATGCGATAGGGGACACTGGGGGTCCCCTCGACTAGCTAGTATTGTCCTCCTTAGAGTACTTCTCTCCATAGGACATTAAATCTGAATTAAAAAAAAAAAAAAAAAAAATGCTGCAAACGCAGTTACTCGGTGGGTGAAGAAAGAGGAAGGTCAACTTTTCCTGAGGGATGCCCCGGTTTTTTAATGGGCGTACTGATGAGACAATACCCTCATGCATTGGCATCGGGTGTTCTTCGGTTAATGTTTGCTTAGTATAACTACGAGATCTCTGCATCAATCTGACCCATCAGAAACATGCTTCCCGTTGAAGTTGACCCATTGACAATAGACATCGACACGTACAATGTACGGAGAGACTCATGAAGAACATCTTAAGAACATCTTAAATACAACACAGTACGTGGAAGATGAAATAATCAAAACAAGTGCACGCTCGCTGATCGAGTCTGGTGTCTTGGATATCTGGGACCCGCCAACATTTTCTCGACACCTCCTGAACTTCCTCTGCTTTTCGCCTGATGCTCCGAGTTCTTTGTGCTGCGACTATCTAGATTGCTTTTGTCGATGTACTCCAAGGCATGCCGTTGAATTCAAGATGGAATGGGTCATACGGCCCGGGCATGTCATCCCACTTGTCTCCCTGAAACCAGACCGGAGCACGAGGTTCAGGTGTCTGTGCGAACGCGGACGTTGAAGGCACTGAAGAGGCCACGTCTGAGTGGGTAATTGGAGAGGTCGGATCAGGAAATGCATCTTGTGGTGCCAATGCAATGGGCGCGCGTGTGAGGTGCGCGATGTGCTCAGAATTCTCGACTGGGTAGCCCGGATTTGCGTCACTCGCAAGCAGCTGGTTTCTGAAGAGAGCGGCTTTGCCTGTGTCATTCCCCTGTGAGTTGTTTGGAGGCTCGCCAGTTGCTTTCGCTGGGCGGTTCGCATGTTGCTCGACTTCTCCCCCTATACCGAGAAGTGCATGAAAGAAGGGGAAGAGAGAGCAGAGGAATAAAAACATGACGACTTGGTCCCATTTGCGTTCGGGTAAGTTTTCGAGACATATGTTTAGGAGCCAACGAAACATATTGCAACGGTTATAGCGACGTCTTGAGGACTGCCCGATCCTGTATCTGTTGTCTTTCTGGAATGATCTCTGCACCATTTTGAAAAGCAGATCCTCAGTGTTGCGGTGGGCATGCATCGAACAGTAAGTAACCCATACCTCATGTCAACCATGCGCCGCTTATTCAGAATTCCAATATTATAAATGGTATTCAGCATTGCAAGGGGTTCTGCTCGGCAGGCACGTAGGCGGAATGGTTATGAGTACTGGACAAAATGAGTTTGCGTGCAAAACAAACGCGACTCAGTATACTTTGTTCCAATGACTTGTCAACCGAACTCAATCTTATCACATGACGCCGCCAGCGCCAGTCCCCATTCCTGCCAGTATGTTTTGTGTCCATAGTCTTTTTATTTCATTTTGCATTGGCAAATGACTGCTAATGTAATCCGATGTGATTCTGCTATCAACGATTCAACGTACAGTATCAAGTTCTTCAACTTGTGGATGTCCATCTTGACCGGTATTGCTAAGCAACACGCCTTGACATTCACTCATCGTACCAGGTCAAGATCCTTGTGCTGCTAGGCACCCACCAAAACCATGAAGGAGCTCAATGAATTAAGTACTAGTCAATGAAACCCGTGGACCTCACTGAGTGTAGATTTTCACTCTTGAACTTGACTTTCCATGAAAAGGTGAGAATACAATAATTGACTACCGTTTTCGGGCCACTGCATACACACTCGTACAGCCTACTCACAGGCGACCGTCTACTGAACAACAACACTCAGCTGCAGCCAAGATGGTAAATATAACATCAATTTAAGTCAAAATTGCAACTACAATGTCATGCCTCGAGGCTCCAATGCTCGTATATGTCCTGCCTCTTAACAAGTGCGTGCGTTCTCGTAGCATGCTGGTGGTATTAGGGAGACAATGCCACATGGTAGAGGTGGGCCCCATTGCACCCGTGCCTGCATTCAGTCATGCTTGCTTCATAAAAACCAATCAAATATCCCAGCGTTCAGCTGATATAATATAAGTCCATGTCAATCATGTGCAAAAGATCGTGCCGATATAAATCCCCTCGTATGGACCCAAGTGGTTCAAGATATTGCCCACAAGGATGTTGGGCACACTCTGTATTGTGCACAGAGCATCCGTGGCATCGTCGTCACCTATATAGATGAGGATGAACAATCATGTCCGAAAAGGCCAATTTTGTACTCGCCTGGGCACTGGACTGCGTATCCATCAGATACAATGTGGACTTCTCCCTGGACATGTGAGAAGCCCATGAAGCGCCCCGGAACGATCGGGATAATGTCCTTCTCATTGTTGATGCGTTGGAAGTCTGATATCTGCTCGTGATTTTAGTAATTGGGTGAATGAACAAGATCCGAAGGGGAGAATCAAGCTTACCAGGTAATCAAAAAGAGCGGCCCATGCTGGATTTCCTACGCGGGGTGTGCCATATGTCACACCTAAAAATTCCGGCTGTGAAAATCCCGCGCCCCCCTGTAAAATTACTGGTGTGGACACACCTTTGATAGCGATACTAGAGGGAAGGTTCAAGGCCATAAACACACAATCAAGCTCCGCAAGGGCGGCTCCCAGGGAGTGTCCGACCTGTCCTCAAAATATCAAAGTTATTTTAGAGTGGTGACAAAATGCTCGATACTGACCAGCGTGACACTGCTGGCGTTATACTGAGAGATCAGGCTCTTCACCTCGTTCAAGATTATGCTCGCAGTTAGCGCGTGCTCATTGGCAAATCCGCTGTGAACCTCAACGCTGCTATCGACACCGGGGAAAAGTGTGGGGTCCAGGGGTTCCATCAATACATCGGCATCAGTGAGATCAGATAGGCTATGTAGGTCAATAAGTTCTCAGGTCGTATGATGTGAAGCGTGTACACCTACAGTTGGGTTGGATCTGTGCCTTCATGAGCAACTATCACGGTATTTTCTGTCGGCCAGTAACCAACATAGTCTGCGAAATGTTTGGAAAGGCGGGTGATATTTTTATTGGAACGTACAATATTGGATACTGTCGTCGTCACCCCCTGTGAGAGAAACCTCAAAGTCAGGCACCGCATCGCAAGCCTCTAAGAACTCGATTATTGAGTCGCGGCAAACCAAACAAAGTAGGGTGGGATTGCGTACGACCACACTGCCAGCCAGTTACGATAGTAGGCGAACAGTAAGCAGCACGAGCAAATTGAGTATATGGCGCCAGATCAGCCAGCTGCTTAGACGACATCTGAGTGACAACTGAAACATCCGCCCGACGTATTGCAGGAGGTGCACGATGAGAGACCGCCGCAACCTGCAAAATGCATGCCAGCATGAAGTTCGAAGCGGAAGAAAAGAAAAACATAATATACTGCAAGGCGCAGTGGATGAACAACTGGAATGCCGGGTCCCAGGGGAGGAATGTGGTTAGCAGCTTTGCTGAACATGTTGCAAAGGAACGTGATATTAAGTACGCTGAGTGTTTTAGATCAGCAACTGCGCTTGAAGGGATAGACTGCATGCATGCAAACGGGCACAGGCGACCTCGTGTCATGTATTACAACTATTCCTAGTAGCTGCTGCAACAAAAACATTAGTGGATGAACCCATCACACGCAGATACTCTGGATGAAACATCATTCTGGGAATTGTTGAGCTCGAAATAAGGCGACTCGTCCAGATACGTGTGGTCACTTGACTAGACATTGCATGTGCTGTCTCTGTTGGACTAGGTTAAGCACGAGGACCGACGAATAGAAACCTCCGAATCGAGAAAAGGTCAGACGTTAACGTTGAACGGCCGCCATGGTTTTACTTACGTAATGCCAAGAAGTCCACATTACTAAGGTGGGAAGAAGAACAGAAGGTGCTTCAACAACAGTGAATGCCGACGCTTGCAAGCTTTAAGTGACAGCACCCGTATATTCCGTTCTTCTGTGGTTGATGATTTTACTGACCTCGATCTTGTAGAATTTACCTCTCTGATTGCTGTTTCATTGCGCTGCTTTTTGGGTCGTCACGGCGGTCGCGCGAAACAGACCTCCGAGCCGATCTGACAACCCATGTTCAGCCCCATTCCCACCCAACAAAACACATATCAACAGGTGGAGGTTATTCCCCTTTGAAGGAACTAGGAACATCTCCGCATCTTTCTTTCTTCCACTCATCATCGCGACAAGGCGTTCGTTCGTCTTTGCGAGTGCCACTCCGTGAGCTATGTATCACACGCAGCAGACCACTTCCGAGACTCGGAATACACTGCTTTCGGATCCTTCCAATTCACAGCCATATCAGTTGAAGGATGCATTAATCCCGGAATCACTCCCTTCAATCACCAGCATGTCTCTTCCCGGCATCCCCCCTTCCAGACATTCACCAGACTCCAGAGCTAACATGAATCCAAACTTCGCTTCTCCTGCTCCAGGATCATATGGTCATTCCCACACCTATGTATCTGAGTTGGACTCATCTAGCCGCTCTCAATATGGATCGAGCTCTGGCATGCTTGACTATGTAACCCGAGATCCACGGCTAGCCTCCGAGACCGATTCTTATTATCGCTCTAGCATGATGTCACGCCCTCCAGTCGCTACGGTAGACTTTGTGTCCCAACTCAGCTCCGCTTTGATTCACGACCCTCCTACTCTGTCGAATGCTGAATCTCGATCCTCGCGATCGCCTGAGCAACCAGACGAAGAAGTGGACGATACTGCTGATGGTCGCAGAACTCGTCGTGAAAAGCCGCGAATTGAGCTCGCTCCAGATCAACCACTTACCACGCAGGGAAAACCCCGTGCTCGAGTTTATGTTGCTTGCCTCCAATGGTCCGTCCATTTTTTGAGCCTCACTGAGTTGACCGTTGACCTATCACAACTGCAGTCGGACACGCAAGATACGTTGTGACGGGGCGAAACCCCAATGCCACAATTGCAGTCGACGTTCCAAGAGTGGAGATGAATGTACATACGATGCAGTGCCAAAACGTCGGGGTCCTGACAAGACTCCTGGCGCCCGACAGCGAATGGCTCGGGATGCTCATGTTGGAAGCGAGAGCGACGTTGCTGCATCCCGTCGGCGGCGCAGAAAAAGGCGTGAAGTGTCTGCGACCAATACCATTTCAGACCAAACGGCTAATACCGACTTGGAGAGCGATCAACCTCAGCCCGAATCCCTCATTTCATTTCCTAATATCCCCCCACCCGTCATCGACCCACAATTAACCGCCATGTCTCCTTTTCCGGTAGAGGGTTCAATAGGGTCGAACTCGTTTCAGCCCTTACCGCTGAATATCCTCACTGATGCAGTTACATTGGTCGCACCTTCAGATAATGAGGTTCTATATCGTACCATGACGAGCACTGAGGTACCGACTTAATTACTTGTTGGACGAAGTCCGCTCATTACCTATGAATCAAGGACACAAACAATGATTTCGGTGTTACAACTCAGTTGGATTTTCAGTTATTTGAGTCATATGGCCATAGCCCCCCACCTCGGGCATTCATTGCTTCACTGGACAATGAAACCAGTGAGACTTCAGACGAATCATCAAACATCACTCCCGAACCCTCTCTTGATTTCACCCGTAAAACATGGTGGGATTCACTTCTTGCCATTTACACTTCCTCATCATACCTTCCTTTCCTAACTGCGACGCAACGTTGCCATGCTACGGAGTCAATCACTGCAGATATCCAATTTCTATTCCGCGGATCTAACTATTGGTTCAATTTTATCAATGTTCCTCAGTTCCTTGGGAGGTACTTTAATCCCGTAAAGAGGGAGCAGATGCACCCCGCGCTGCTTCCGGCTGCTCTCGCTATTGCTGCATTATTTCAGAGTTCAGAAGCGGGCAACGGGAGGGAAGGGAGAGACCGAGCTGTTAGGTTACGAGATATTGCGCAAGGTCATCTCGAGGCAAGCCTTAACGCTCGTTGGATAGATGATTCGCTCGCTCAAGCTGCCTGGGTTAGTTCATACATTTGCAACGTTGTATAAGTGTTCATGTGTCACGATCACCTCTTAGCTTCTGGCGTTCTTCGAGATTTGTCCCCATCCTCAATACACTAGGGAGCGGTCCTCGTCAGCTGTACTCATGCTTGACATGATCATACATGGCCTAGGGCTGACTTTTCTTGATGTCGACAATCCACATTCTGCCAAGTTCTCGCCTCGATCTGTGCCTACGATTACACCCCATACGTGGAACCCCCCTCGGCAGGCCGTATACCCGACCGACCGCTTGCTCGCTACTCCTAGTGTCACTCAGTCACAATATCCTTTGAAAGGCTGCTCCTGCTCTTCCATGACGCTTGGCCAGCGTTGGCCAGCTGCCTATGAGCACACCCCACTTTGGGTTACCACTCCTGCGTGGGATGATAACTGGTCAGAAGCCGAGGTCCGCAAAGAGGGGTGCCGCCGATTATGTTGGAGCGCCCTCGCCTTAATCGCCGGCCACACTTCATACGCTACTGCTGAGAAACGTGTTCCTCCGGAACTTTTCCTCAGGGAACCCGCGAATGTGAGTCTCAGCGATCCTTGTAAATCAGGTACTCACATTTTATGTAGTTTGCGCTGCTCTTTCCTGGAGAGGCACTAGGACTATCAAGCATGACATCCCATCATTCAGGGAAAGACACTGTGTGGGCATTGATTCACCGAACGATGCTTCTCTGGCATAGCTGCCTGCAAATCAGACGCACCCCGAGTGCAAACGATGCTGAAATGGCTCGTTTTGCAGTAGATGCGTGGCTAGAGGCAGATGCGTTAGAGCAAGCATTTGACGCGCATACCTGTGACTTGGAGAGGACTTTCTTGTTCCAAGGTCGGGAGTTTTTATTCAAGTAAGCTAGGGACGAACTACTTTGAACTTCTGTGCAATGGCTCATTGTGGCAGCGTTCGTATGACGGTATCTCATGAATTCAAACGGTTTATCCCTGTCGCCACTGCGTAAGTCTTGAAATGCAACCAAGTGTAGTTATCGATCACTGATTTGTCCTGTTTTATATAGCGATGCTAATGGACTATTCCACAGGGCCAGGGAATGGCGTCAGTTGCTTAATTCATCGCGTTGTTCCTCTATTGATGACCTGCGAATAGTATCTCACCAGGCTAATATTGCCCAGCGCGTTGTACTTGGGATGGACGCAGTGACTGGTCATGCTGCTCACTCCCTCATGCACAGGCCATTCTTCATTTTCTGGTTCATGAGCCAGATCAGCCGGTAAGCATTTCATCTTACTCTTATGTATGGCTTATCGACGGGGTGTTGCTTCAGGGCACTCGCTCTGTGGGATTGCGATAATACACTGACCCTTGCTCTTGACGTTTGCATAGCATTCTTCAAGCCTATAGACTACCTAATTGCCCTCTGGCCTTGCGAAGGTATGGTTTGACTTGCACGAGCCTCTTATTCTCATCGTTGCTCTTCAGATATACGACGCAGGGTCTCTAAGCTTCGCGAACAGCTGGCGCGTGCGTGCAGGAGTACTAGACGACCACACCTCCTGCCAAGTTCGGCATGGTAGGGTACCAATCACAAATGATTTTTATTCCCTAATATATTTCTTCAGTCTCGCACTACTGTTCTATCACGTTATGTATCGAGTCTAATATGCCTTTTGTTTGTCACCAAAAGCAATTGAGTGACGCTACATGTAGTGAATGAGGCCCAAAATAGAAAGTGATTGTTTGTCAGTGACTTCAAGTTTAAGTACTAAAGACCTTAGAAGCTCTTCACAACATTCACATCTTTCTTCAAACTCTCAAGGACAATGGAAGAACTGCAACCCTCACATTCAGATACATCCGTCTCCATGATGGGGCTGTCAATGTCCCGCAGTGGAGGCACTTCTAGCTCAGCCCTGAAACGTGGGCCCTCTTCCTCATTCGAAGGTCTTGAGGACGAGACGAGCAAGAAGCGGTTCAAGGAAGATTTGGGAAATGGGCCAGATATCGAGAAGTCTGTCGCTAAACCATATTATGAGGCCCTAGCAGAGGATCTTGCTCAAGAACTTCAATGCGGTTGTTGCACTGAGCTGGTGTACCGACCAGTGGTCGTGTCCCCTTGTCAGCATTTCTTCTGCGGCAGGTATGACTCTTTCAGAATGTAGTCGTATACCAATGCTGACCTCTGTCAAGCTGTTGCGTTTTGTGGATTCGTGTGAGTTTTTGGTCTACAGTCGTTCGTGGCACACCATGCGCTCACCCGACACATCGGGTAATCATGCTGGCTGCACGCGTTCATTCTTTTCCCATTTTTGTGTTGTCACAGAGCTATTGATCTAACGACTGCCGACTGCAGAACGGAGGTACGAATTGTCCTGCATGTCGAGGGGTATCCACTATCGTTACACCATCACGCCCACTGCAATCGATCGTCGATATTCTTTTGCGTGCCGATCCATCACGAGAGCGCGCTGAACGAGAACGAATTCAAGCGGATGAAGTATACAAGGCTGGATGTTCTATGAGGGTGCGTAGTTCAGGGATTCAGTCCATTCACATGTCTCAAGCACGTGTTTTCTAGATCCCAACGCCACGAGAGGCGTCCCCGGAACCCAACCTAAATCAAAACGCGGATTATGTTCGCCCTTGTCCTCATTGTGCGCCTGATAATGCATTCGGTTGGAGGTGCCCTCAACCCGTCATCGATTACGGCGTCGATCCAGAGCGTGCGTGGCACTTGGATGACGGTATGTTGCGTTATTACTTTCATTACTAAAGAGTTATCTTAATTGTATGTACTCTAGGTAATCCGCCTGGTCATGCGTTTTGCGGAAACTGGTATGTGAATGCCACTACACTTGACTTTCTCTTACCTTGGCTATTAGCGAAAATCTTCTCGCCTTGCGCGCTCCTTCCACAACAAAATGTGATCTATGTCAGGTCTCATTTTGCGGCGTTGGTGTACCAGGGCGTTGCTTGGCGGCACCTTTGTTGTCTCAACACCCTCACAATATGTCTGACCTGGGTGATCTCATCCAATCATCCGAAGTTTATGGATGCTTCGATCATAATACTGTCGAGGTCGATATCATGCTTGATTACCTGACCGCTCAAGAAATTTCACCTCGGCATATTTATCGCGAGGTTAGTCATGGTCCTTTTTGATCACGGCCCTACATAATTTTGACGCGGTGTAGGTTGCATCACACATCCTCTCCCAGCCTAATGGTTTCCGTCCCCTGATAGAGCTCGACTTATTCGTGGATATCCACAGCGTCACCGCTGGGATTGATGAGAATCCAGATGCGCCGAGAAATAGGATATGTAGACAATGTGCTACAGAAGTCATGCTCTGGGGCATCAAGGACTGGTGGATACGAGAAAGGCAGAAGGGTTTTCTCCAGGAAACTGTGACGCGTCGACCTGACTGTAAGGAAGGCACCTCCTGCAGCAGACAGAAAGATCTCGGTGAGTGGATTGTTGTTTGGAGAAACATGTTCAAAGTTCACTCAACGCTGGCTACAGCGCATGCAAGGGAATGTAAGTTCCTTATTGACCCCTGTTTGTTCTCTGTCCTTGTACTAATGCTTTGGCTTCCAGATAATCACATCATCGCCCCCCGTTTTTCGGGAGATTCGGTCTTTTCCACCGAGGCATCAATGACAGGTACTCAAGGCAGCCCGCCTGTCTTTGCTGCTATAACTGCCGATGCCGCTAGGCAATTAGAGCCGGAGATGGCGGAAAGTCGAGGCAATGCAACAGTGACAGATCTCCCTACAAACTCCTTTCTGATTGATGGACTATGAGGACCACCCTCTTCACCTTAGTAACTACAACGAGCTTAATACTGTGACGGAGTTCAGGTTGCATGTGAAAAAATCTTCACCGTGATTATGACTAGCTCAGATGTCATTGGCACCACGGATTTCATGTGTCCCTTTCTCTTTCCAATTCTAATAGTCATTATATCGTTATCTTCACCTCAAAGCCGCTGTAATGAGTTTCCAATAGGTTTGAGAACTAATCCGGTACATTGCGTGGTACATTAATGACAGATAGGACGACGTTGTAAATGTATGCAAAATGAACATGATATATATACGATAAAATCCAGGAACAAGGATAGCGGAAAGTAAATGAAAACAAGAACGGCAATCAGAGGGCGCCCAAACCCTCGTACATAGAAATGTCACCATCCCAATGCCGTCGAACACGGCCAAATGACCGATGGGAGTGCAATGACTGCCTGTCCAGTGTGGCAACTTTGCGCCGTTGGCGCTCCTTCAACTCCTCCGCCAATCTCTCCGTCCGGGCCTTGGACTCAGCTTTAGCCTCGGCCTTCTTTCGTTTCTTTTCCTCCAATTTCCGCGCCTTCTCTGCTTTGCTGTCTTCCTTGCGAGCAGTTTTGGATGTTACAACGCTCGCAGTTGGAGACTCTGACCACGCGCTTTCAAGCACGCTCGGAGCCTTGCTGCTGCTCGTGACCGGGGAGAGGAAACGGTTCGAAGAGTATGGCTTCGTAGGGTGAGGGCTGGTCATCGATGTATAGGCACTTGTCGGGGAAAAGGTGCTGCCCATGGGTGAGCTGACGTCAAAGGTCGAAGAAGGTGCAGGTGATATGGATGGAAAGCGGTCGGTGACTGCGGGTTGAACATTGACATTGAGTCGCAGGTGTTCTACATTGAACACGCGACCTTTCGGTCGCGTGTCAGGAGTTCGTGTGTCAAATGGCTTCCGTAGTGACCGTGTTATGTAATCGGGTGAAAAGACGACGCTGCCCGAGTCAGAATAGTGACGACCAGTTATGTCCTGGTCTTCAGCTGTTCGCTCCTCGATGATGGTGAGCTGTTGGTTGGCAACAGCCGAAGGATCAACGGGAGTTTGGAGAGTGACAGGGCTGGTAGGAGGTGATGCATTCGAGCTGAAAGACGTCGTTGAAGACGACAAGGATGGTGTATCGCTGTCGCTGGCACTTACGTGCCCGTTGCTAGCACGTGATCGCGTCCTTGAGCGGCGCGGAAGGTGGAAAGCAGGGTAGGAGGAAGAATTAGGAGAGCCAGAATAATCATCTGAGATATCAAAGTCAGACTCTGAGTAAGTGACTGAGCTGGTCATGGAATGGGATCCGAAGGAAGGCGAAAGAGGTTCTTCGTGCTCTAGAAGAAGATACGGCATGGCAGGAGCCTTTCCAGCAGTGTGAATACCATTGCTGGGATCAAGGAAATCATCGACATCATCTATTGCGACCCCAACGCGCTCTTGCTCTTCGGCATAGCTACGTGGATGCGATATTGCAGGCGACAGGAGGTCGGCTACGGCGCATATCTCAAAGTCCGTATGTGCTGAAATGATACTGTATGTTCTGTTGTTGCGTGCCATGGATCGTTTCCGTCGCGGCGTTAACGTAGAGTCAGAAGGTGTGTTCTTATGTGAAACCTGTATTACTTGAGAAACTGTCGCAGTTGCGGTGGCAGCCGAGTTCTGACATGATGATGATCCATCACGAGTGGGAAAAGCTACATGATACCCAAATCACAGGATTAGAATGCTTCATTTTTACTCACGGTCTTCAAAAGCATCGCTTACTGGAATTAGCTGTGAAGCCTCTTGTTGTCGAGCCAGTACTGCTCTGCTGATCGAGAGAGCTAGATAACTTTGCGTCCGAAACACCACCGCCACGGCTGCGACTGGGTGTAGGGACAGTATCGCTCGAACGACCAGGGTTATCGCTGTCACTGGGGTCAGGGTTGCGACCACCGCCTCCGTTCTTACTGTCAGCGCGGGAACGACCGGTCCTTTTCTGGCTGTAAGACTAGGAGTTGAGTACCATGTCAGCTCATGACAAGAGACCCTATCGTGTTCGAAATATTCACCATAACTGTCTTGAGTGCCCTGAACGGAAAAAAAAGTCAAAATATGCCGTCAAGAGGTTTTGGATAAACAAACCTAATTTGAAGGCTCCGACAGCTACACAATGTTGCGACTTCATACACACCTACAGAAGTTGAATTGGAAAGGGCCCGATGCATCGCATGTTTTACAAGGGATTCGAGGTGGTGGATTTGGTAAGTACTCGAGAGGATCAGCAATTGGCTCAACACCGCAGGTGCGTGTTGAAGAGGAGTGATGAGCGCTAATGAATAAAAATACTGCAATAACGCGAGCGTGATTGGATAAGGTTCGGATAGGTTGAAGGCGCGTGGCGTGAGACGTGGGTCTGGACGCGCTTCCGAGGACCCTGGTGCGCCAGGGAGGTCCGGAAGCCCAACGTCCATGGAAGATGATGGCAAGATCTCTATTGCCTGTTGGGCCCGCGCCAAGAACTTGTTCCTTTGATCTTTGAACCAGGGCCAACGATCCTCAAGAGTCTTCCTCGAACATTTGACTTTGCGCCCGTCGTCACAAATGATTTCAAAATCAGCAAGAATACCCTCTTCCAGGGCTGATAATCCAAACTCCTGCATTGGTATATCGATTTGCAGAGGTGGAGGCTGATAGATTCCAAACGACTCCAGATCAATAACAGCAACGTGATCCCAACTGAGAAGCCGGCGATTGTAATCTTCGATGAGGTTGCCATTCCGGTTCCCGAAGATCATAAATTTATTCGCCTCTGCCCATAAACAGGCACGAAACCAGGAGCCAGTCGCCATGGCGCTCCCGGAGTCAATACGTGACCAAGTCATGGTCAGCATGTCTAACGCCCAGATAGAATAGGATTGGTATGTATGTGCCAGGTACGTGCCAGCAATGATGAAGTGCGTGCCCAGGATAGCACCTGAAGGAAAACGGAGTCCTGGAGGGAATGACGTGCCTGTCATATCTGTGGAACGATCTGTGATTGTGAAATCTGTGTCTGGCATTGGAGAAAAGACCTCGAATTCCCGCTTGACGTCTGTGAACTTTGCGACAGATATGTCATCAGGCCTAAACGAAGCGGTCACGACGGTTAACAACTTACGTTGTAATTGCTGTACAGATTGATGTCATTCGGAAAGTTGTCGGTTGGGGGGGCTGAATACGGCATATGGACCAATGAATCGGACGAGGTGAATGCTTGAGCTGAAGGAGGGGACTTTTCGGGCCGAAATCGTGCTCCAGGGGGACCTAACATGGTGGTGGTATCCGTTGAGTGGACTTCCTCCTGCGGTATTCGGACGCGTTGGTTTGCAGAGACGGCTACACTACGATAGGTACCACAATGGTGGGGAAAGTTTCGGCGTTGAACCCAGGCTCTACCCAATAAATCGTACACATAGATGTCATCCAGCCAAACATTCGATAGGTCTTGGCCTCCGATGATGAAAAGACGATCGGATGACACAGATGATAGATGTGCATATCGAGGCTTTGGAACCAACGTTTCCGCGGCAGACTCCGCAGAGGCACTGTTAGTAGCTGTTGCGGGAAGCCAGTGCATTACTGACAAGTCGAAGAAACGGACGTCATTGAGCACACAAAGGTCTTCTGGATTACTAGAGTTCGGGGTGCTGCCCATACCACCGAAGACAATCAGTTGATTGTTCCCTTATGATAAATACAATCTGCATAAGAGCTGGGCGACAATTAGCCAGGCGGGGAAACTCACAGGTCTCTGTGCTATGGAAATATCGTGCGTCCGGGATGTCGTCCTCTGGAGATGGTGTGATTCTCTCCCAGACGAAGGTCTCCAAGTCGAACACATATAGATCCGAGACCATGCGGCGTTCTGTGACTAGGCGCCCACCCTAATATATGATGCTTTAATGAGAAAGAGACGATAGAGAGCAACTAGCAACGCACGAAGAGATACATCTTCGATCCTACGACTGTGGTAGACGCGCCCTACAAAAAGATGATGAACAGTGAACGAGTAGAGGGAATGGATGCATACCACAAGTTTCGGAGGGACGTCACCGGTCGTCTTCCGACAGAATGTTGTCAAGTCGGATATGGAGTGCATTACTGAAAATTGAATGCGTTTGCTGGGCGACAAGACAAGATGGATACGGGACTAATGCGTTGTGGAGGTAAGAGAAGAGTGAAAACCAGGAGATGAAGAGTTGATGAAGACCTCTAAGAAATCATTTCGCTGGATGTATCTCAGATCCTAATCGGAACATGCCGGCAATCTCAGGCACGTGGTTGTCCTATTTTCAGGTTTCTCTCGAAGCTTTGAAGCAGAACTTTCCAAAGCTAACTACTAGCGTTTACGTCGAAGACTGCGCTATACCAATCGAGGATCGCCCACAAATCCATCAGACATTATAGTTCTGATCAACTCAATTCCTTGCTTGTGTAAGCTCCAAACACCGGGATGAGTAGCTGTGGATCATTTGCCAGCGCACACAGATAGCCGCATCATGAAACCAGCGACCATCTTCATCAACCTGTCCGACAGTCCAGGGCTTCTGTTGGATACGACACTTCAAACCCTCAGTACCTTTCCCTCGTCGACGACAAATTTAGTGGTACTCCTGGCTTGAATTCTCCTTGGCCGTCCAACCAGCGATATCAGACTTGACAGCTCTACTTTCACGGTACCTGGTTGATAAGTATCTAGTGGTATGTTGAAGTGTGTCATCGTGGGCAGCGTTACTAAATGTTTGTACTGGGGAGTCCCTCGGCCAAAAGGCGCCAGTCAACGGAGATCAGTGCCTTGTCACCACTTTAGTCAAACACTTGCTCGGGGAAATCAATTCTAATTGTTCATTCCTAGTTGGACCAATCACACACAAGATCGAGGGTCAGGGCTAGGTAAGTACCATTAGGCAATAGCCCCCCCCACTACGGCCCGATGAAGTTATCGAAATCCTATCTTGCGCATGTTGGGGGGATCAAGGTTCATTATTTCCGCTTTTGCGGGCCGACTAGTAAGAGGCTACTAAGAGCAGCTAGCTGGCGCCCATAAAGGACGAGAGGTAGCAACCTGTGACAACTGAAGGGTCATAATACTAGGTTGGTAACTGTTCCTGCCCTTACTATTGGGGAAAATCGGTTAGAACGAGCTTCAGAAAACTTTGGTCGCATTCTGCTGGCAACAAGCTTGGATGATAACCCCTGTGTGACTCCTGTGCTTGTCAATGTCTAGTTTGCCGGGGGTCGTTCGACGTGCTGTCAGACGACATGGATACTATGCCAAGCGAGTTCGCCGCCTTCTTCATCAATTTGTTGCTGTGCCCGAGGTAAGCCTATCTGTGTTGTCATCATAATTAATTCACAAACTTGTATCCTGATTTGAACAAACGCCAAGTTAGCGAGTCCGTGAGTCAAGCTACTCCTAATCGAGAGTGACTGACGTGCCAGCCTATCTTTGTACATAGTTGCACGTAATCAGAAGGGAAGTTTGTCTCGTAAAATCGTTCAAACACCAACAGCGTACGTATGCCATTCTATACGCGGGTGATTTGGGCCAGCCACGGTACAGCTCAGTCGGTAAGAGTACAATCTTACAGAAAGCCAAGCGAATTGCGAGCATCTTCGAGAAAACCCTTCCAAGGATATTCCGCCAACCTCGGCAGGTGTTCCATGAACCCGAAAAAGATTGCAACTGATTGTGAGATACCTGTTCATCGATAAGATGGATATGCCGTACATGATGCATGGAGTATTCGCTTCAAATCGGTTCACGATGTTGTTGAACGTTAAATTTTGTTCATTTACGCCTTCTCGCGCTTGCCCGGTGTTCTCCAGAATATGATCGTAGTACCATTAGAGAGCTTCTCGCATGACGCTGGATAGTCCATGATCCGCGGTCGCCATATAGTCGGCGCGTGAATTTCGAGTTCTGCCCTGCAGCTGGCCGTCGTCGGTGTTGGAGAGCAGCAAGGCCCATCTGCAAATCCGAAGTTTGATAGAATAACACGTTGTGTGGGATATAATTGGAATCGGTGAACTGCGACAATTGGTACCAATCGCCCAGTCCTCTCGCACCAGCTGGCCTGCCAACGAAACACCTACGAAACACCATGCATCGTGGACCACAAACGACGTTGATTTTTCAAGTCAAACGCTATTTGAATCCCAGATGTTACTCAAATCGACCATGTTGAATTCAGAATAGGCACTATCCTTGACAACGGTCGAATTCATGCTCTTGACTCGTACCATCACCTCCGTAACACCTCGCAGATTCATCCCGGTAGCATCTTCTTCTTCTTTTTGCCTCCCTTCATCACCTTTGATCTACAGTAGCTTCTCTCCATCATTCATGTCCTCAGTCTCCGTTACAGAATCAACGGATTGCCTTCAAGTCCAAGGACATGTCCAATATAATACCCCAGATCATATCACCCCATCAAATGTCCACACATCTCCCCTAGAGCAATTTCATATCTGGTTCAACCAAGCCCGTGAAGCCAATGTCCGTGAACCAGATGCCATGTCCCTCTCCACAGCAACAGCATCGGGTATACCTTCTTCACGCATGGTGCTCTTCAAGCAGCTAGACAAGCGGGGCTTTGTTTTCTATACTAACTATACTTCTCGCAAGTCTCGAGAACTGGAAGAGAACCCTCAAGCTGCCCTGCTTTTCTTTTGGCGTGAGATGTCTAGGCAGGTGAGGGTGCTTGGCAGGGTTGAGAAACTGTCGAAAGAGGAGAGCGAAGAGTACTTCAAATCTCGCCCTGTCGGCACTCGTTTGGGTGCGTGGGCAAGCCATCAGAGCAACGTGATTGGGGAAGATTACCTGGCCAACCGATTGGCGGAGGTTCAAGAAAGATTTGGAGTGCAGGCATCTGACAGAGAAGGCGATGTCCCATTACCTGATTTCTGGGGTGGATGGAGGGTAATCCCCAGGTATGATTCTTCGTTATTCTTGGCTCCAAGTCAATCTTACGCGTTGAAATTATACAGCGAAGTCGAATTTTGGCTTGGAAAGCCTTCACGGCTTCATGACCGTGTGCGATATCTTCGCGTAGAGAGTTCGCCCGATGACCAACCACGGTGGACGATAGATAGATTGTCCCCGTAATCTCCAACGTAGGGTTAATAACTCGAACCGATACCACTCGCATGGTTAACACATGAATTCCAAATATCGCGGCGAGCTGCGCATTGCCTCTCCAGATGAAGTTCGAGACTATTTTCTGACGATATTTTAAACAGAAGCATATCGGGACTTTTAACTGAGTCCAGAATAAGCAACAAGAAAATTTTCCGCCAATGCGACTGTGCAGGAGAACGCGCCGAGGCAACTCCACTTGGTTGGAACATGAGGCTGCCTGCGAGAATTACGAGGTTCTGAAGCTCACGAGATGCATATGGTGGGGAAGTCGCTCACTGTTGCCAACTTCGGGGAAGGCCAGGCCATGGTTGTAATGGGACTGTTGCGACACTGTTCTGGCTACAGGATCTATCAGAGTTCATAGTAGCATGGCAAAAACATTGGGTGATCGCCAGATAATGGTCGATAACTGATCACCTTGACAAATCAGATCGAATCTGCTCCTTGCTCATTCAGTCCTAGTGCGGAACATACAGAAGGATTCTCAGTGAACCATCACAATGAAATGCAAGTTACAAATTAATTGCCAATCGATAGAGTTTTATTGATATGGAATATTATACAAACTGAGAACTTGACAGACGCGACGCTTGGGAACATGAAACGCTGGAGATTATTTCTTCGATGGCTTGATTGGTTCGACGCGCGGGACCTTCTCGAAATGAGCAGTATGTGCGAGAAGCATAGTGGGAGATGACCCATCGCCCTGTGAGATGATGCGTCAGCTCGATACACACTACTTACTAAGATGGAACTGCGCACAATCATGGAGGTCGGGAACCCCGGATCAAACGGGAGAATGCTTTCCAAATACTTGATCTGTTCCGGGGACAAAGATATATCAAGCGCCTCGAGGTTTCCATGAAGGTGTTCGACTTTGCGCCCTCCAACAAGGGGGAAAACGTACGGCGTTTTCTGCATAAGGTATGCGATGGCCACTGCATTGCCCGTGATTAATGTATTTTTATGGGCAGTGTAATATACCTTACCAGCGGTGATGTGACTAGCGCCGACCTCCTTCGCTACCTTCTCTAACGCATGAGATACCTTTGTTTCATTTTCGCTGCGTTCCCAACTTGCGGTGAACATCTCCCTTCCCTTTTCTCCCGTTTCGCGGCGCCTGTGCTCCTCCTCGTCTGTGCGGAATTTACCGCTGGCGAGAACGTTCCAGGGTGCGAGTGCCATACCTATTGAATATTAATTGAACAGGTCAGCTAATTAAGTACTTAGGACTTCTCGGCTGCACCTTCAGCCCGGGCCATGGGAATTATGTCGCGCTCGAATGAGCGCTCCAAAATATTCCACATGCCTTGATAGATCACGAAAGGGGTTTTCCCATAATCACGAGCGTATTGGTTTGCCTTGGACACAATCCAGGCAGGTGTATCGGAGATACCCTGATACAATGGATTTGAATAACTCAATGATGTGACAGGGGCATTTTATATGCGTTACCAGGTAAAGGACTTTTCCTTGCTGGACGAGGATGTGCAATCCATTCATGACTTCCTCAACACTGGTGTCGAAGTCCCACCAGTGAAGATATAAGATGTCGATGTAAGATGTTCGAAGCTTCCTCAGGCTCGCCTCCACGCTGAGATGCATAGACTTGACATTATTTCCGGTGAAATTAACTTTCTGTGCTTCATTGGAGCCTCGTTTGAAATTGGTAGTGTACTGTTCAAAGATAATCCTCAGCTCAAGAAAATTGTGTCCTGAAGTGTCGGGAACAACAAACCTTTGTAGCGATGACAAGCTGGTCACGAATGCCACGCTTTTCAGCCCACTCGCCGATAATCTCCTCTGAGCTTTCGTCTTGGCTATGATGTTCCACTTAGGGGTGTTCACAGCTCAGCAAAATGGTACTCACTAATTGTTCGCAGTGTCGATAAAATTCCCGCCCTGCGTCGAAATACGCATCCAGCAGCTTCACCGAGGACTGCTTGTCCATTGCACCCATTCCGTACTGGTGCCATTTGTCCCCAATGGACATGGCTCCCAAGGCGAGTGGGGAAACGTGTACACCCGCAGTGGGAGCTAGGGTACGATATATGCCAAGCTTGGTGGGCGGTTTGGGAGCAAGTTGATAGAGACTCATGATGGCGACTTTGGAAGAGAATGAATTGTTCACCCCCTATGTCTGTGTTGATTATAAGCTCCGCAGGCGCCGATGACACATCAGATCAGGACGAATTTCCAGTTATAGACAATCAAGTTAATGCAAGTCGGGTACAATGAACGGGGGTGAGTACTAGTAGGTGAACAATTGTACTTCAAATCGAAACCGAAAGCCAAGTACATATATATAACAACAGAGGCAGAAGAAGCAAGCCGGTGAGACGAAAGGTCCATAGTGTAAACTAATAATTCTTGAAACTTCAAGATATCCTGGTGATGTGACATTACTGCTTGTCCGGAAGTAAGCTTTTGTTTGCATCGGGACCCATGTATTGTAAAACGACTTGCCTATCATTACAAGCCACAGTAGCTCTCGGCTACCTGGGTGGCGGTAGCAGAGACCTTGCCCGCAGGGACACCAGTGTTGGCTGTCAATTCATCAAATGCCTGGAGGGACAGATCGAATGTAAACCCTGCATCAACAGCGGTAATGTAGATGCTCTCGGATATACCAGTAGTTGTGTACTGCAACTCCCAGCAAGAACCACATAGAGGCGAATTGTAAGTGGCATTTGGAATACCCCCAATATTGGGGAAAGACGGAAGAGAGCCGAAGGTGGTGAAGCCCTTTGTCAACAGGCCATTGGCACCGTTAGAGCAAGCGACAGTGTCCAGGGAAGTGGATGCATTGTCATAGAAGTCGTCGTAGGTCACTTCGACCTGCGTCGCGAAAGCAGGAAGAGCAAAGACGGAGAAAAGTACGACAGCGAAGGAGAGCTTCATTGTGCAGCCAAAAAGTTGAAAATTGATTTGTTTGGAGACTGGGTTGTTAATGACTGACCTCTGGATATTCGCCGAGCTTTATATTCCGCCTCCATTGACAAATACAGCGTGCGCAGCCAGAATTTGGACCTAGTTTACCACCTACACATCAGGATGAAATGCAGCTAGACCGCAAAGGATGAAGGTCAATAATGAACTCAAATCCCCAATGACAGTTCTCAACCTTCGTACCTGCAAACCTGTGAGACGAGGCAGGACACCTAGCGGGACATGAAGACCGTTTTCAACTCAAATAGGGTAACTCGGGTGTTTGAGACGACGATGTCATGTGTTTTTACATAACACCATCATTACTGACACTACTGTCTCCGACTTTGTAGTATGTTGCTATGTATATGGGCGCGAAATGAGAAGAGAACATGACCACATGACCACGCGTCGAGAGAATAACCAACTCGATGCGGGACAATTCAGTCGTCAGCAGGTGACAATGCATGTGTAACTTGCGTGCGGTGGCGATGTCTGCATTGATATACCTTTTAGTCATCCTTGAATATCACCAATGAGCCAACCACATCATAAGTCTGCAGCAAAACCCTATCCTATGAATGGACATAACCATTTAACTTTGACATGGACAAATAGCGCTGTGCTAATGCGACCATGTGGCATTTTTCAAGGCCATGTTTGCCCATATGAGAGATTTCTGGTGCCCCTGACGAAATGAAGACAGCACAAGGCATGAAAATAAACCTGCTCAAAAGCGTCTGACAGTAAACTGATGAGCTTTGGGATCGAACATGCACTATGAGTTCAAACGTGCTTCTGGTATGCTTCATCATCGTAATTTTGCGACGGACCTGAGTCATAGCATCTATTATTTTGGGAGGTGACTGAAAACAGATGAGTTTCTAATCTTCAAGCTTCGCATTTCGCTACGAGCGAGCAAGCCTTACCCCTGGCCTTTTGCACCAGCATCACCCTTTGCCCACTTCTGCATATCAAGAATGTGAGGCGAGGTAAACGAGTAAGAGGAGAGTTGGCAGAAACCTCGTTAGCGATGACATTGACCGCGTTGAGGGATCTCACTGAATCAGGATCAGATAGACCACCGCACAAAAATATCAGTTTAGGATAGGGCGGGCAGGAGAGAGCAACGAAGGTTTTGCCTGAAAGGAAGACGACACCTGCTATTGCGATAGGGACTGGACAAGAAAGGATTATAGCAGTGGCCAGGCCAACATCCTCAGCTGACGTCGTAGAATGCGAAGAGTGCTCGAGGGTTGCGGAAAGTAAGGCTTAATCAAAAAACCATCCAATTACTGGCGACTGAACTCCTCAGAGGCGAGAAGTACTCTTACCCTCCAGCAATACACCGTATGCAGCATCATATAAAACATATCAATTATACTCGAGTGGACCCCAATGCTCTTCTTGAGGTCTTCGCCGAAGTCAACATCAGGTTCTACGATGGTCAGAGCAGCTTGTTTACTGATGGCGACACAGCGAGAAAGGATTTCAGCCTGAACTTCAAGATCAGCCCGAGTGGGCAGGGATGACGAGTTGCAGAGGATCGATGCACGCCATTTGCTGCGACGGGCTTCAGTTGCTGCTGCTCCCTGTAGACGAGGCAGAAGGTCATCAAGAGCCTGAGTAGTATTAGGTTCTAAGAATTCGAAGGAGGATGCGCGTCCATGTCAGTACGAACGCCGGGAATGATACCCCTGTTCGAAAGCTTAGGGTCAACTAGAAGTCGAGAAGGGTCTCATAGTATGAGATGTGATGCCCGAGATATATTCTGTGTAGAGCGAAGACTAGATCAGTCTGATAAGCTGAAAATTTATGATGGACGCCGGTACTTGCCAGGAAGAGATTCTCCGAGGCTCCACTTTCAAAATTACATACTCAGTAACTCTGTTAAGACGCCTGTTTTTTTGTCAAGGTGCTTGGCAAGTGCGCAAAGTAATGCAGAGTAAGATATTCTGGCTTTCCAAGTGTCATAGAACCTTGAAAAGTGGAAGTTGTTGAGAGACACTCAATGCGTGATTTGTCGTGAGGAGGAAGCACGCTTGGAACCTAAGTTTGGTGGCTGTGATCTCACCAAGTCTATTCGTACTTCACTTCATGTTCACAATCAACCACTTTCGACTAACTGCATTGGCCCGCAGAACACCGTTTATACGTTCCTACTCAAAAAAGCCCCAAGTAATTCGACCAACTCCGAGTCAAAATCAGAACGCTGAGCAAGATGATGGAGACTTCCGTCCACCATGGGTGTACTCCGCGTCCCACATCCTCACCTATACCCTGATACCTAGTGAGTTTTCACGCTGTCACGGTTGGCTGATGACCATGATGAACTTATGCATACCGATTAGCTGCTATATTATATTGTGTCTTCCTTGCTGATTGGGGCGAGCGGGAACATGTCTTCTCGCCAGTATGTGTCTCATCTAGCTTTTTTTAAAAAAGCTCACGTCTTACTTGTGATCTTCCAGGTGCGCAGATGGACAACGAAATACAAGGAATCTTTTCTCTCTCTTTCTCCAGACGAAGCCTCCTTGATTGAAGAGTCACAACCGCCGTCGACCACAGAACTACCGGTTACAAGAGAAATCCAGGCAGAAGGTCGTCCTTCATGAACGATGCAGTTCGTTTGCCTTTGGATCTCGATATCCTACCTAGTAATGATGAGAGAGAGAGCCATATGTTTAGAAGCCACCTTGTGGTATTAGTAGTACTTGTAGTAGACAAAAAACAAAGAGATAGCATCTCACTTTCTAAGAATTACACTCAAAGGAAATGAAGAAATGATGGTCTGTGGCTAGGGTGCAGTTTGATACCTTGATTAGCGCCGTCGGTGGCTTACCTGCAAACCTTGATGCGAAAAACTGTGCAGCACACGGAACCATGCAAACGGCGAGTACTCCAGCTCCTCAGTACCATCCAACACATCCTCCAATACAAAATGGATACCAGCCCCTCACAGGTGCGGACAGATGTCCTGGATTATTGACTGTATAATTAAGCCTAACTTAATGACAGAATCTGAAATTTACGCCATCAAACGACAGTACTTGGGACTGCTTCCTCCACTACAGATAATAGATATCTGTCTTACATTTGAGGCTCATGCGCCCCTTCATGTAAAAAGTACTGTGTGGCCGTATGATATTCGAGCTGCAATTGCAGCAATCCAGGTCCAAAATGCACAGATCTCTCAGCATGCACCAGCTCAACCTATCGAGCCCTCCAGTGGACTCTGGGGATCAATCTAAATCCACATCAACACCAAAGGATTCGCCTTCAGATACAGGAGATAAAACTACTTCATCTTCTTCTGAGCAACCGCCGGCTCCCTCTGTAACGCATGGCACGGCTTCTGGTAGTGCGACACCTCACCCGTCTGCGGCAGCTCACCCACACCCACCGCCACAATCCCTTCCGCACTATCCACATCAACCCTATTATCATCCTTCCTATCCACATGCTCCGTACTATCCTACGCCACCCCAAGCACACTACAATTTCCCTCATCCATTTCCTCCTTACCCTCACCCACCTCCACCTCAATATCAACAAAACCCGCCTCCACCGCCTCCGTCAAGTCATGCACCACCGTTATTCACGAGTGCACCTTTAGCACATCCCACTCATCCCTCAGATTCGTCCTCATCAAATAACGTCGATGACCTCCCCAGTTACGAAGAAATGATTGTAGAGGCACTGATAGATTTCGGGGACCCAGAGGGGTGTGCACCAAAGGCCCTCTTTGGTTGGATGGCGTCACATTATCCGTTACAGTCAAATTTCAGGCCTTCGGCTAGCCAAGCCCTCCAAAAGGCCTTCAAACGCGGGCGTCTAGAAAAGGGGAATAATGGTAAATACAGATTGAATGTCAACTGGGAAGGTGGGAATGTAAGCACAACACATTGATTTTTGTTGCAACTTCTAACGATGTTATCCATCAGACTTCCAAGAGAACTACTCGTCGTCCACAGACTCACGCTCAAACTGCATTGTCTGCCCATCAGGGACATGCATCATCATCACCTTTTACTCATATTCCCCTTGTCCACGACGCAGACGCCGGTACATCATTGTCTCAGCCGCATGCCTCCGCACAAGGACAACCTGGACATCCTTATGGCTTTGGTTATCCAGGGCCAGTCCACGTCTGTGGCAAATCATCGCCCTCAGCCTGCTCCGTCGGAAACACAAACTACCGAAAGCCAGATTCGAGAAGGCAGCGATGCTTGGGAAGCTGCCCAAAATATTCTCAAAGCCATAAATTTTGGACAATTGTTTCAAATCCCCAACGAGGATGGAGCGCCAACACATACAGATTCCGCTGCGGTGGCTCAAGCACCTCCGGTATTTGCCGGTTCCGTCGAGGTATCGTCCATATTTGATAGCCAACCAAATTCGACGATTACGAGTACATCTATGCCATCTCGTCATACCGAGACCTTATTACGCACTGAGTTAAACAGCGATGAAAGGGCAGCGCTGCAGGCTGAGCTTGCCCTGTTAGCCGCTCAGTTGGCAGAGTTTGCAGATGTGAGCGAGGACGAGTTAGCCCAAGACCTCAACCCTCCCAGGAGCATCGAAGAGGGTTATGTTTCCGTTGCGGCTACAAAATCACAGAATTCTTCTGATTCCACCCAACCTCCTGCGGACCAGATGAACAGTGACGATGACGATGACGACATGGACATGGTTGAAGTACACGTGCCAATGGCGTCGCTGATAGCGTAATTATTCTTTGTGTTTTTTGATGCTACCTGACGGAAATATTAATGATACTGTAGTTTTGAATGATTCGATGATTTTCCTCCAGCACTGTAATGCCAATCTTATCCCTTCCCTCGAGGCTCTGAAAGGATGTTCTGTGCCAGTCGGGATTCTCCGACAACTATAAGTAGGTACGAACTTTACTCTGAACATGGAGTCAAGCATGACTCTCGATCCATCGATGATATCATTTAACATCAGGTGTTGCGTACTGTGGGAGACGCTTTGCGTGATCATGAGCAAACCTTGGGTGGTATTTGTGTGATCCGGAGAAGTCCTTGCCATTCAATAAGTTACGCGATTTCGTTCCTCGACTTTCCGAGTTGTTAACTTTTTCTTGGAAACTCAAAACCGATGAACACTTGACTAATAACCTACCCTTTCGTCAGTCCGCAAAGGTCCGTGATTGGTCAACGTCACTGAGTTGTAATTGTGGTTATTGATTACGTGTAGAGTGTGATTGGAGGACTATACCCTGCTCCCAATGACTTAATGACCCCTGTTGTCATAGTACATATAAGACAGTTACTAAAGTTGTTCAAATCTAAGGGTACGTGGTTTCACTATCCAAACATCGCAAACTTGCACCACCCTCGATTGCGTCACTGAATCTACAGCTTAATTTGTGTTATTTGGTGCCGCGTTTCAGATGACGGGCTACGGCTTCCAGCGCAGCGGCTCAAGGGACCAATAGCATCGATCATCAGTTTATCCCATGAACCACCTGGTCACGGGATTCACACATATGGCTGTCTCCGTCAATTCTCCGTAGCACTCTATGTCTCGACCAGACTCTATATCAGGACAAATCTGCTTTCAACGGCAAAGTTCCTCGATAATCATAATCCTCGTTAGCTCCACCAAATCTTACAGGCGCTCACCTGCCAAATGTCGACGTCATGACACTGTCGAATGGTGCAGGGTGCAAGAGTGTTGTCATGTGCAGTACCAGCTAGTACATTCGTGTCGTTCCAAAAGAATCCTCGGTCTGGTTCATCGGCCGAGAGCCGTAGAATGTATTGGCAGCCGAAGAACGAACTCGCTTTGTCCAACTCTAAACGCCATCGATAGCGCCATACCTCCGGCAAGAATGTATCACTACCGACAGCACGGCGCCCTATTGTCATAAGGGGGTGCAGTCAATTAAGAAGTGTTTCAACCCATCGTATGAAACTCTTTCTAGACTTCGGAGTTTGTTGCCACCGTTTATTGCAACGCACCACCTTGCCGGTCAGCGGGAACAGAAGAGATCTGACGCTGGTGGCAAGCAGTATGAACACACCATCTAACGCGAACGATCCCTTGCGAGCTGAGCTAGATAGGCTCCAGCAAATGCTTGAAGAAAATCGGGCAAATTGTGCTGAAGCCAAAATGCGACGAGAGGCGAGAGCTGCTGCTGAAAAAGATGGTGACAGAAGACGGGACCAGTTTTATGCGGAGATACGGGGAAAACTTCATAGCCTGACGAATGATTCGCGCGAAAATAGGACATCCCGTAAGCTGAAACGCGTCAATTTCCTGAATCTTTCGCTTTATCTCTGATATCGAGTAGATATACCGATGGAAGTTCTCTTGGAAGCGTCTCGACAAGTTCATCACGAGTCGCTGGCTGCTATCGGGACTTTCGCAGAAGGTAAAGCAGGCCCACACATTTAGGTCACCAAAGGCTGATCATCGGGACGATGCGATAATCAGAGCACCGGGCGCAACGAGAAGCCGAGCATGCAGAATTATGTCGCCTAATAGGGGAGCTCAATCAAAGCAGATGATACCATAATCGCAATCATGCACACCACGGATCTGACAAATATTTCCATTGCGAAACTGCGAAACGGTCCAAAATGCATGAACATACAATTGAGTGGATTGGTACAGAAAGACAGTCACAAATGCCGAAAGTAAGCTCGTACAGCCGCGTCATTTAAAAGTCATTAATTGATCTTCAACAATTCAACCTCAAATTTCAAGGTCGAGTGCGGTGGAATGACGGGCGGAAATCCGCGTGCTCCGTAGGCCTGAGATGATGTCAGACTGAGAGTTGATCCCCTTGAGATATTCACCCACATAATCGGAAGTTGCTATCAAGTTGGCCTTCTGACCGAGTGATAATTGCGGCACGCCTAATAAAACATTGAATAGGTGACAGAAAAGATGCGGAGAAGTGACAAACCTTCATCCCATCCCTTGATCACCTTACCGACACCTATTTGTGTCACAAAAGGCTCTTTACTATCGAGGACTGATCGTCAGCTATAATCACGGACAGGAGGTGCGATGCTTGCCGATCTCTGCTCGAATCAAAGGGGGTGCCATTTTCGAGTGTGCCCACGTAGTGAATCGTAACCGTGTCTGTTGCGATTTGAGGCGATCTTAGTTGGAACGCGTTTCGGAGATACTGTACATACCACCCCGTTTGGGGAACGTTTTACCGTCACCAGGAACGATTGTCTCAATACTGACGCCCTGTTTCGAGCCATTAGCGATGGAGGAGAATTACGGCGGAGACGCCGCGCGCTCACCATTGTACACGGTGACACGTACCAGGTGCGGGGAGATAGGTATGATAGGGATTTGTGGCAGCACTTATAGTGGCGGGGAGGCGGAGTGCGGATCTTGATCCGAATCTAGTAATCCGCTAGAGTCGATAACATTGAACCAGATTGAACCCAATACAAGTGTCGCAGGAACGTTATCGATATCGGTTCAACATCAACTATGATCAGCGCTCAGCCCCCGGCGGTACACGGAGTCTGATTTCCAGTGTAAGTCCCCCTTGATTTTTCGCTCGCATTTTCCCATGAAGCTCCTCAGCCATGGGTAGCTGGTTGAGCGCCATCGAGGCCATCGATCATAATCAAAGATGAGTGTCAAAGTGCCACAAGTACGAACTGAGAAACAATTTGAATTCCAAGTCATCGATCTAGAGTCGAGGCCACCGTACCTGTGCATAGGTCCCGACTTGTCTTATGCGGGGGACAGATAAACGTTCAGAGATATTGCCTTCACGCAGGGGGGAAAGAAATCTCTTTTCCTGTTAGTGAATACTCCTTGATTTATAGGTACGACGAACTACTCCGAAGCAACGAGGTGGACCGATGGTTCCGATATCCGAGCTGCATGCACGAATCAAGACAAAGGCGCAAGAAATATGATTTCTGTTGAACAATAGGAGATCATCTCGCGATAGAAGACAGGACAAATCATCTCCAATCCACTTTGCCGATACGTCCCGACATAAGAAGCTCTTCCGCTGGGCCGAACAGCGAAGGCTGTCTCCAACTTGTCGTAAGGCCAGCCAGCCACCGAACAGAGTGCAAATAACGCGTAGATCAATTCATGTGAAGTATGCGATGTTATAAGACTTGTTACTGCGACCGTTGACCTTTCAGTCACAGATATTATGAACAACAGAACATTTTCTTGGCAAAATCGTGAATGTGACTGAGAAGTACGAATGCTTGCATGCATCTAGGCCCGGTGGTGTGGTCGCAGGTCATGTGTGGTCGGAATACGGCCCGGCGAGTGGTGTTCGACAGAGATGACACGCCAGTCGAAGTGATTGAAAGGTAGGTATGATGAGCTAGTAGTGCCACTGGGTATGATATGGATGATAAATCTGCTCAAAAGAAAAACACGAGAAGTTACCAGGCCGAGGATCAACTGGCTACATCTTGCGGCAGACTTGCTGTGGAGCCTATTGAAGCAAAAATTGCGAACTTCAACTGCATACCGTACATAGTAGTAAGTACTCGAAAGACTGGCATGACCTCGGACTTAGGCGTGAGAGAGCTGTAAATACCACTAGTAAGCGCTGAACTTGAAATTAGTTTGCTTTTTATAATCATTTTTTGTCCGGTCCAGGTGTGCCATGCTCGAATCAAGTAGCAGGGTCATCATCGAACTACCAGCGGGTGGAAACTCCCCGTTGTCCTCGAATGTCGTCGGGTACCGATTACAAACATTGCAGAATCTCTCGCAATCACAGTAAGTACATCATCGACTTGAAACCTAAAGGAAGCATGAAATGTTGACAATGATTGTCGATAGAAACATACTATGCAGACAGACCTAGAAGTCCTCTGACGCGGTCAACCTGCACTAATATTAGTTGAGAAAGAATAAACGAAAAGTCATATAAGTAACACCATGACACACTCGATGAAGTCCCAATACCACGCCGGATCGTCCGTGGACCACGTTTTATGATAGATCCTCGCGCGTCGCCCGGTTGGCTGTAAGTATATTTTCACCGAGATTTCTAGATTAAGATGAAGACAAGGCTTACTATCGTCCAGTGCTTAATACTGTTCTTGTGCTCACACACGAATCAGGTACTCCTACTGTGTTACTATGCCGCATAGTTCCCTAGTTTCAGGCACCTCAAGCTCAAATTTAACTTGCCATTCATGACCGATTCATGACGTTTCTGGTAAGTACCTTTGCGCCTGCGGCCACATGAGAATTAACCGCACATGCGCTGTCATAGGCCGTCATCTCGTCGGCTTCCGGTGCCCTGTGACACAACTCTGGCGGGAAACATGTGCTGCAACGTTTTGCATCTTCCCTGGCAGATACTCTTCTGTGCTCAAGGTCACTTACAGGTGTCGCCCGAAGCTTTCCGTGGCCCTGAAATGAGTGAAACGACTCGGAAACGGGTATCTCATTGAACTATAACTAAAAAGAACTTAGACGCGGCGTCTGAGTATCCATATTTTGAAGCAGCAACTGTTCACGGTGTTTTCACCATTCAATTGTTGTAGCATCTAGATGAATCAATTGTAGAATCGTTGATCTTGGTGTTGCAGCATGCTTTCAGTGTCGGGCGAAATCGCGCTGCGGCAAATCCACTCAAGGTAAGTACTGCCTTAAATATCTTGTCTCTAGTATGTGTTTCCGGTGTTCCCGGTGTCGTCGGTAAGTACCGCGATTCATGTTCTCAGTATCTTAGATCTCTACTTACCTCAAACCATCAGCCCCACGCTGAAAGAGGTTCTGTTCGGCCATCACCGCAGGGGGTAGTCATGCCTCATGAATTTATCATTGGTCCTCGTCCACGCTATCGCACATCACAACAGGTTAGTGACTGGTAATATGCACGATCACCGGATACCTCAGGCCATGTAGCGTCATTCCGCGACGTAGCAAACGCAAGGATCGGTCTTTAATTGTTGTGTTCTGACTTACTGTGGGCGGTGGTGTGTCTGTCTTGCTCGTCATACTACTTGTGAGTAGTAAGGGCCAGGCAGGGCGTATGTGCCTTCTTGTCACATTATCGTTACGGAAGTTTCCTGCAGCTAATATTGGATGTCCCCTCAGCCCGGAACTCAAATAGGCCTCACAGAAGCAATCACATGCATACGCATAGCCATCTCTCATGGTCTCTGCCTACAGTCACTATGCAATTAGTCTGCCCGATAACGTTTTAGGTTATGCACTTCCTTACCCACAATGCGCACAGCACTGTGCGACTGTGGTTCCTTGCCCGTGAAGCCTCTGTCCAAGTCACACGTCGCGATACTCTTTACGGGGCAAGTCAAAGCTATGGGATAAAAAATCGGACTATTAACCTTAGCGCGTACAGCAAAGTTGAGTTCCTTCAGGCTAGCTGAAATGCCGGGAGGGGTATAATACGTCAGACTATACCTCACACGCAGAAGCGCCGTTATGTAACAAGGGAGACCCTTCATCCGAGTCGGTGTAATTTTCCTGATTCTGAAGTTTCCCCGCATTTGCGCGGCAATCATGGACGTGCATGTCAAGTCGGAATGTATTGCTTCTCCTATTTTGTGCAGCTGGGATCTTCTGCTCATTCCTTAGCGTCTACGCCAGGCAGTGTAATATCCGTCCCGCTTGCTTTATGTATATGATATTTCCTGGACATGCAGTAGCAGGTCGCCACCAGCGCATGCGAAATGAGAGGCTAGTATACAATGCAGCCTAAGTAATAATCACCGCAACTTGAACATGCTGGTATCGCGGGCTTCCGTTATGGCATCCGCGGTTTTCTGCGTCCCTGTATCGAGTATCTCGCAGCCGCACGATTGACGCTGACGCGAGGAATATGCTGGAATTATGGTTCTAGACAGTGACGTGGACAGGGAAAGGCGGAAGCCGCGAACTACGTTACCGCTGTCGTATCGGGCCGCCAGATGAGCGTTCGTGCCCCAGACAGGCAAGTCATGCGCGACTTTGTGGAATGGTGGTGTCGGTATAACATAAAATGTGTCAGGTTAAAAATTTATTCGCCAGTCATCGAGATGGCAGGTACTGGGAGCATCTGTTCTTGCTTGATAATCTCGGGCCTGCTGGATGTATAACACTCGGACGTTGTGTGATGTGTGCACGATCGTGGGGATGCGTATGAAACGTGTGGCATAACAGAGACTCGTAGAAGCGTCTACCCTGCTCACACGCGTTCGACGTCCATCGGGCTGAGTGCATTATCGATTGGAACAGAGTTCAAAGCATGGATCGAAATACCTTCTATTACGGTCAGCAAAAAGAAAAAAAACTTGGATGACATGACAAGCTCTGCAGGTGTATTTTAATCGTGGGCATCCCCACATGCCTTTGCCGGCCAAGGTAAATGCAACCGCCCAGTTCCGATATCAATGAGTTGCCCCACGCTCAGTAATCTCAGCGACATTCCCCATCCATTTCCGGAGAGGGGCGACCATCATTCCCATCCAGGAGAGATGAGGCTGTTTGAATACATGATCAAGTGGTTCAAAGAACATCAATTTCGTCGCATATTTCACGCCGGAGGTCATTAACATGTGCTTACTGGGGAACGAGTGCTGTAACATATCGTATGCTGCTCAGATCGCGCGTCGCGCCCATTCCCACATGCGGGATAATAAGCTCCAGCACCAACGTGTGGTCCCAGTCATATCCGGACTCCGGAGATCCGGTCGAGTGCAAAATCCTGTTTTCCAGCACCGTTCCGTTGATCGCATAATTGGATTAGTATCGAGTAGGTCTCACAGCATAAGCCGTGTCCGTCGTCACCGATTCAGAATTGCTGCGGAGACAACATTGAGCGCTGTTGCGGCAGTCACGGAACATGATCAAACCAAGCGATGTTCCTGTGTCAAGAGCTGTGTTAATGATCCAACCAAGGTGGTGTATTGGGCTATGGTGCTGGCCTCCGTGCACAGGCGTAATACATGCATCCGGGGCGTGGGGTAATACTTACCTCTGAGGGTTGGGGTACTAAGGGGCGGCTAGTGTGTGATTCAGGCCTCTTGTCCCGGGATGGATTTACGCCCTCCCGTGACCGTCTCAGATGAGCAGGTGGAACGATCCGAACGTGCGTTTCAAAAGGCAAGGATACTGATATTTGCATGTGCATGTGTTTGTGTACTCGGAGCTTGGAGCACCTTGAAGTGGACGATGAGTCCTCCATTGCGAGATATGGCAGTCATAAATTTTGACTGACCGGCTTCTTGTTGAAAACAACAATACGATTCCGTGTTTATTAAAGAGGGAGTTAACCGAATTACCCACAAAATATCATGATGCGGGCTAAGAAGCTCAGGGCCGACGGCGATGTTACCACAAGGTGTCTACTAGGTATCATGTCACTTCTTAGCTTCCGTGTTCCCATCTGCAAAAATTTCGAATGCCTCAGATAATTGTAACGTCCAGTACATGCATTATTGCAACAAGTATACAAGTGCTACTCACAACGGAACGACGATGCAATGACAGCGAGAAAACATCGAAGACCAAAATACTGATAAGAAAATAAGACAGAAAGCAATTATGCTGGCCCGAGAGTGTACCCCAACAACAAAACTCGACCGAAACACAGAAGACCAATTAGTCCCGTTGTCGTAGAATAATGCGTACAGTAAATGCGCAAATCTCATGTTACACGATGTACGGGCCCAGAAGAAAAAAGCAGGAAAGGTATACACACAATACAATGGTATGGTACAAATCATTATTCAACTTTTGATATGGATGCGCGGTATTAGGCATGGTGGGGGTGGTGGCGCGATTCAGCAGTCGACGACGCGAGCGTGAGATGGGAATGTTGTGAATTGCGTATGGTCATGATGCGATGAGATGCCGGTAGAATCGATAAAGTAATGGGCATGCGTCGTGAACGTGGCGGTATGGCCGTCGTCGAGCTGCGACCGTGCAAATACAGGGTATGATGGAATGTTCGAGAAACAGACAAGGACGATGGCTGCGCGTGCCATTTAGGATCGTCCTCCTTGGATTGCTTCCTTGCCAGGGAACAGGAAGAGGCGCTTCAAGGGTTGGAGAACTTCAACCTCAACTTCAACCTCCTTGACTTCGCCATCAACCATGCGATGCTCGATGCGTTTCTCCTTCTTTGCAGGAGGCATCATCACAGGGTAAGTCTTGATGTTATCATATGACCATGTGCGAACTGGAGATACAATTGGTCACACAATTAAACAATCGTCAAAAGCATAACATACTTTGTGGTGCAGGTCGGGACGAGGAACCAAGCGATTCAGATGTGGTATCACTCAAGATACTGTCTTCGCTAACTTCGCTGGGGTGCCGCTTCAAAGGTTTCGCAAGACGCTGCGACAACACACCCATGCTCGAGTTGTTTCGAGTGAGTATGACGTCAGGAACGAGTAAACGACCCTCCGCGCCTCGTTTGAGTAGAGGAACTTCACGACGACGACGACCAGACGAAGATGTGGAAGTAGGAGACAGCGGAGGAGATTGTGCGGAGGAAGACGCCGAGTGGGGGAAAAGTGACATCCGTGACTCTGATCGGCGAGAAAGAGGAAGGGAATATTTAGTGTACAACTCTTCGCTATACGACTGACTCGAACGAGGAGGTAGATTGAAGGTAGGACACTGCGCGGCAAGAGCACTAGATGAGTTTGACTGCGACAGTGTCGAAGTCCATTGAACACCACGATGTGATGAAGCTGCAAATGAGGTCTGGGGTTTCTGAGACCCAACTGATGCAGTGTCCGAGTGTTTGGAGTATCCACCATACACTGACTGGCGCCACTCATCGCCGCCGTCGGTCCAACCAGGAACTGTTTTTCTAGGTTGAGCCGGTTCGCTGTAAAACAGCGAAGGTTTTGGGCGTGGTGGACATAATACATCCTTGATACGCTTGCTTGCCATCATTGTCCCCCCCTGGTAATCATTGTGATACTCGAGCTCCGATGAAGAGGTGGTATCGACCGGCGACAAAATAGGCGGTGCAGGAGGTAAGGGAGGGAAATCGTACAAGGCGGCGAGGGTAGCCATACTGCGAGAGACGGTGACCAATGGTGGGGAAGATGAAAACCCTGAATCAAGTGACGATCCGGAAGCACTGGTGGATTCGTCTTCTGATTCGCAATATCGCCTCTCGAAAGAATTATGAGGTACACGAGGAAGAGGTGGTGATGAGCGATCAGGGTGGTAATCGAGTGGGTAAGCGCCATTTAGTCTTGCCAAGTCTTGGAGACGACACTCATCCGAGCAGTAAAGAGGAATTGGACCCTGGTCGATGATCGTGCGGTGCTTGACAGGTGCGACGGGTTGTTGAGGTTGAGGCGACGAGGCACGCCCTTTGTTTGCCGCTGTGGCTGAGTCGGATCGCTTTATTGCACCATTAGGTTTGACGCGACCGGTGCCTTGCAAAAGGCCATTCTTTGCGCGAACGGCGCCCGATTTCGTTCGGGAAGTGCGGGCAGTAGAGTCACTCTGTTGATTTTTCGACGCTAGAAAAAACATTTGAATGACTTGTGGCGGTGACGGATGACAGTTGACAAGACTTACGAGATGAGGAAGCTGGAGATGACGTGGGGACAGGTGTGAGTTCTTGAGGTTGTGGGAGGACGGGTACTGTATATCGCTTAGGCATGATTTGCCTGTCACAGACTGGACACCAGGCTTCGTCGAAGTGAGCGTCCATGAGTGGTTGAAAGGAAGTGCGGGGAAGGCGTGGGGGGATGATGGGCTTTAAATGCAGTCAAACAAAGAAGTTTGTAGGCGGTGCGGAAGATATCTAGATGTGGACAAAAGGTGAAACACCAACAAAGGTAAACGGTCTAGACCAGATTTCAATGTAACGGAATGATGAACGCACGATGGAGAGCTGTGTGTGAAGAGTGGCACCAGATATGATAGCCGATGGACCAAGGAGTATTGTTTAGGTCGCCGACGTTGAGGACGACGTTGAGGAAGAAGAGGAGGAGGAGAAGTCTGAAGTGAGGATGGGATTGGACGAAGAAAAGAATTGAGAGGTCGGGGTTTTATTATTTGATTGGTGATTCGCATATACACGAAATGGACTACCCAATTGGGGATTGGAATCGCACCGAAATGCCGAATAATTCACTGTTGAAAAATATTGGAAATTGAGTTATTACTCTCAGTTATGTTTCGGCTACCTCGGATCCTCGGCTATGGATCCCCACATTGGGAAGTCGCATGCTGTCACGCTAAATGTGCTACCCCGTGTGGAACCCTGTGCACGTGGCAATTAGGTGAATCGGACCGTAGACCTATCCATTGGTTTTCTCCTTGTGGTAGGTCCGTCGTTCATCAACCTGAAGTCTAATCACTAGCATGTACTAACGATGTCGTCAGTTTACTACCACTTACTTACTTTTTTAAAATTATTTTTCTAATTGGGTAGACGGACTGCGACGCCACCGGTACACCCCGTGGATACGTTACTTACGGGATCGGCAAACACCGATTTACTTATCGCAATGTACATATACTACCATCGTCCGACTACCACTTGTTACATGTGCAAACCGTGTACATCCATCTACATGTACACAAACCTCATTGGTACAAGAGCTACCGGATGTTTCAAACTGTAACAACCTCCCTGTGAGCTTGATCCGTCATTGGCCGGTCTCACCTGGTCAAACGGTGTCCAATCCTCATCCGCACACAATTGGTAATTCATCTTTGATAGACTACTCGGCTTTCTCCGACCGCGGGACACTGTTCCTTTCAGTCCGACCTCACGCTCTCCTTCGGCACCTTCAATAAATTATGATACTCCGTTGCCTCTCAACATCGACGGTGAGTTCCCGAGTTGCGCCCTCGCGTCGGGGTGGCTTCCCTCCCCCGTTCATCTCACAAGTAGTTCACTTGACCTTTTCAGGTCAAACCGAAGTAGTCGGATTACGAGTCAGTCTTCGGGCGATGCCTTTGCTGCATCGAGAATCAATTCCTCCGAGGTTTACGTTCGCTCGCTCGTCAACATATGCGATCCTTACTATTCGGCGTCTCAGCGCTCAAACTATAGTGGTGTCAGTCATTGCCATCATGAATCCTGTTCTGTTCGAACGTGATCATCTCATCTGTTGCCCTCCCCGCGCTGAAGCAAACTAGTATGGGGGTTCCACATGGACAGTAATCATATATCATTCATTTGCGCCCGTAATATTTAAAGGTACACGGCAACCTTACATTCATTTTCAGCCATACTAGGCACTCCTAGGAGTGTTGCAATCGAAAAATAGGCACCTGCTGTGTTTACTGAGGTACTACCGTGAGTTTCTCCTCCTACATAGGCTTTTCAATATTGTATCTTGAGTACCCGCACATAGCTTACGTTGTGGGGAGTCACTGATGGGGTATTATGATCCACGGTGATATCTAATCCGCGACCATCGCATCGATCTTTCATCCTTGTTCGCTCGCGAATTTCACCACCAGGTCCGACAAAGATCGTGACACGTCATGTCTACTGGCACGTTCAGCGAACATTGACTGCAAGAAGTACAAGACCGCGACTCATCACGCTAAATCGATTTTAATGATCATATGACATCGTCACAGAGGCACGATATTCCTCGTGCAAGAAGAACCTCATCTCGCCTTAGCATCGTGTTGGGATCTCAGAAGCTCATATGATGGAATGCTCCACATGCTTTCTCAGGTAAATCGATTCGAAGATCTAGATTTTCTTTTCTCAACCTAAAGAACATCTATTAGTTTACGAACACGTCAAGCCAGTGCAAAGGCATACTTCCCTGCAAGCACTTAAGCGAACACAGGCTGGGCCCTCGGATCCGTGTTCTATGCAAAGAAGCGACGGCACGCTTCTTTGAATACCGTGATATCTATAGAATCCCCCACACGGTCTGGCACCACGCACATCTTGCGGAACGGGCACACTGGTATAGTATGATGGTTCTCAGCACCCTGCGCACGCCGTCTTTCTAGCCCCAACACCACGGTGTTTTACTAGGAGTGCGCTTCTAGTACTTTAGTAGCCGCCGGAATAGACTCACAAAAAGTCTTCATGACATGTGCGCTTGTTTCCGCTTATCTTCAGTCAAGTCATCCCGGGACCGTGAGCAGCCAGATCGAACAGAATCTATGGCTGGCGTCGTCGTTCCACCTTTTGGCCGCGGAGGAGCTGGAACGTCAACTGAGGCAGTCCCAAGCTCCAACTTAGCCGGCCCACGCCAGATTGAGCTTAGCGGACTTCTCATCCTAGCATCAGTCTATTCATCGCCGCATGGTGACCTCAGACTCGTCGATTCGATGCGGCCTACCGCACACAGTCCGCATTCTAGCCCCTCTCCTGTTACTTCTCCGACGCTAGGCAAAGGTGCCAAAGAGCGAATCGGATTGCCTTCAAAGGCCGTCTGACGTCCCACCGCGGTATAATAGCCATTCAACTACGTATGTAACCAAGTTTGGACAACACCCGCGCCAATCATGCAGGCACATGGTCATGATATATCTTATATGTTCATACTAGTAAATTGACCGTCATCACTGCGCTGGTAACGCGCCAGTTGCGCTCCTTTGAAATTCCATAGGTCGTTTGGCTACACATTGATTTACGTTATGTGCGCAGCAGACCTTCTAGGCCCAAGGGCAGTTGACGAATGGAAGCCCTAATGGTCCTGACATTAATCATACAGAAAACTTCTTGAGCATTTCATTTCATTGCTTCATGGGCCCAGATTTGGTACTACGACAAACCCCAGAATGCAGAATGCAGAAATGAAATGAAATGGAGCATCATAATTTTAGGTCAAGGTCTTGCCCAGACCACCCCAGAGGCCAAACGCACGCGCAGGAGGCTGAGGCTCAAACCAGGCTCAATCGCCCAGGCCTGTGTGGCATCCCGCCAGCCAGTGCGTGGCAATAGTCCCTTTAGCTGGGCCGCCATGGTTGGGCCTGGTGATAACCGAATTCCACCGGAAAATGTAATCTTGCGAGCCAGTACCTTTTTGTGGCATTGTTGGGAGCATTTAGATGTTTTCATTTCGTAGCTTGGAGCCAATGGCATGCGAGCGCCACGATTTATTTCCTCTCGAAGACACATCTTCCTATGACGTCGGAGCGTATCACGCAACACATGTGTGACCGACGAAAAGCACCGCCTCCGTGAGGATTTACGACGGGCATCGGGATTGACATGGATATTGTCGGGTTCCTTTTGTGACGCCACGAAGTTGTGCTGGCTCCCTATTAAGCTGACCGGTAACCTGGCATGCCTGACAGTAAGGAGAGCAAGACCTTGGTAAGGGGCAAAAACTTCCGTCTGTAACTCTCCAGCAATTCCTTTGCAGCGGACGCAATACACTGTGCTATTAGCAGTTGACCACCGTGTGCGTATATTACATGACCTCGTTGGCCGTGTCACACGCTGCCTCGACAATGTCTGAGGGTGCATCATATTGCATCAAAGATACTTATCTGTCGCCATTTTACTTACCAATCACGCGCGGGTTATGCGTCCCTCGTCGCATTATTGTTGCCTGCCATGTTCAACCTATGTGGTAATGTAAATGTTGCATTCTTGCTATGCCCCTCAATCTCCATGCAATGGGGATAAGGCTGAGACCTGGGAACCAGGCGGACCCATCAGTGGCGTCAATGGGCGAGACATACGATTGACACTTGGTCATTGGAAGTGGTCGATGGAAGAACAATAAAGGACACATACATTCCGCAAGGCTCGATCACAATTTCCTGTAAAGCGTATAGGGGTTGACGTTCATGACTTTGGGGCCTTGTGCACGTACGTTTAACAACACTGCCGCTGCACAGAAACTGACACGCCACTACTAGATGCTAGTATGGCACCTTCGGACCACAATTATCGTCAGTCATGCCTTCGATCGGAGGTAAGTCAAAAAGCTTGACTATTCGCATGCTCTTCTCCACGTAAGATATGCTCCACAGGAATGAAAGCACAGCAGACTCTTGGAATATCTGCGGTCTTAGGGCGCTGCACTGATAAGATGTGATTTAGTAAAATAAATCACATGCCAATTAGGCAAGCGAAACAAAAACCTAGATTGTGACTTCTAGAGACTTATCTGGGCCCCCATTTTGCTTAACTCGGCCCCAACTTGAACGTTCGTCCAGAAAGCGATTTTTCGCGCCTTCATCTCCGCGTTGACTAGAAGATTCTGACATGCTGACATCTTCCCCGAAGAATGTCAAAACATTCATAAATGGTTGTTAATGAATGAGGCACAGCCGGAGGGAGATAATTGTATTGCTTCGAATGTGCTTGCGTGCATCCGGACCTATTGCTTCGAGTCTATCCTTTTATGCAGCGTTATGATGGCATGTATCGGTGCACACTGTCATTCGCATTCTCAGTGGTGATTCCCCGTGTCATCCACCACTACTATATGGAATTGTCACCATGTATACCTTGCGTTCTAGAACAGATCTGATGTCTGACATGGCTCGATCATAAATGTTAAAGCCCACCTAAAGGTTATCAACCCCCCTAAATAACCAAGATAATCGGAATTCCGTAATATGTCCTCATGTTTTCACATGACATGGTCGGTAAACTGCAAGGCTACCGTCTGTTAGCTAAAGGTGTTCAAACGTTCATGGAAGATAGACAAACTATAATTGGGAAATGTGTGTATTTTGAATCGGATGATGAGTGTGTGACCTCGTCACCAGCGAGCTGGTAAGATGGATCAGATAAGAGAACTTGCTTTGCCAAGCGCTTGGAAACTACTTGACACCTTCTAAAAGATGAGTTCGGAGATAAATGAACTGATATCACTCACCGTGTTCCCGATACGGACGACACAGGGTAGTAAGTACAATGAGATGTCAAACGGATTTGTGGCATCTCAGGCCTCAAGACGGAGATAACTTGCCTACAGAATGGGTACGAATGACGGGCGGACAACTCCAGCCATCCTACAACGATATGATAGATCCGGTGGCCCCCCTAGTCTAGTATGAGGCACGAGTTTGATAGAAGTAGCTATGGACCCACGTACTGCTGCACGAAGTTAGACTGGTGCATTAATTGTCAACACCATGCAGGACGTGCGCAACTCAGGACGGTCGAGGGACCACAGGATGAAGTTGTAGAAAAGACAACCAGCTCGCTCGTCAAGTAAAGCGATAGCAGCAAGTACGTAGTACTTGTTGAAGATGGCGCTGGTGCACGTGGACGGTTTTGGTTGAGTTTATAATTTTAGTATTTGTCTGGACTAAATTACTAAATCAGGTTGCATGATGATCATTTTAATCCATAATAATTCAATTGCAATTTGTAAAATCTAAATCATATAATTTTACAGCGGCACCTACTAAGTTACTAGAGACCGACCATTCTGCAGCTCTCAGCAGCACAATTGGACAAGATATTTAATGTACATTCATTTGTTCTCACCTAGATAGCAGGAGAACCGGCCTAATCCAGGGCTTTTTGAGTTGACTCCGATTGAGACACCGGGCGCATAGATAAGATTTCTCGATTTCCTATTTCGGTGCAAGATCACCTTCGCCGGCACCTTTCACAGCTCCCCTGGGTAAAGTTGGAGATCTCAGGTTATAAAACCCCATTGAATTCCATGTCACTTCCGCGCGATATCCGTGCATTTCTCTCTCATTACCACGGTCAAACGGATGACTCGCAAGCTTTAGATAATCTACTGTTTTACCAAAATCGTCTGCGCTGCCAGCCAGACGATCTTTTGATCAGCGAGATACACCAGAGGTATGCGACCGTTACTATCCAGTACAGAATTGACATGACGTCTTATACATAGCTGGCGCAAAGACTATAATCAACTGGAGTACAACCATGGTTATATCCAATGGGTGTAAGTCGTGCGACATATATCCACTGGCGGCACCCGGTGATAATCTCATGACTCAACCATGATATGCGCAGCTTCCCCATCCGGGAGAACGGAATGAATTTCGAAGCGCAAGCTCTCCAACTACACGAAGCTACGGCGATGAAGGAAGATTCTGATGTCATCGAGCGCATCAAGGCCTCTTATGAGTTGATGTTGGATTTCTATGGCATGTGCCTGGTGAACTTCGAGACTGGTCTCGTTGGACGCTCAGAAGGCTACAAAACCCGGTACCAGAACCTCTTGCGTGGGTGAGGCACCATGATCAGAAACTCATGCTTACGAACTTGGGTAAACTATATAGAAGCTCCTCATAACAACCTTCGGATCACACGGATCCTCAAGTGTCTGTCGGAAATGGACCTGGAGCATCTGAACGCCGGTTTCCTACTACATGTCCTCAATGAACAAAGCGAGCACAAACAGTTAAATACCAGCCTACTACGGGATAGCATGGATAGATGGTGGGCTAACTGCTTGAGGAATAAAGCGGATCGGGAGTGGATCGGACTTACAATAAAGAAGGGGAGGAACGGCGAGACGTTCAGCAGAGAGAAGTACGAAGCCAGTCTGCAGAGGCGAAAGGAATCAGGATCCATTGCGGAACCGCAACTTGAATGTACTGATGCGTAGCAGGTACTTTATGTTTGCACTGTGCAGAATGACACGAAACTGAATTACATCAAAAATTTGTTCTAGGTTGCAAGTAGTACTGCCAGACATTCTAACTAGTCGACTGCTCGAGGATCGAGCCTGGCGGCGAGCTTCTAGTAAAGCGCTATGAAGAAGTACAAAAATATGTGTCAACTATACATTAGTACAAAAATACTACAAATATGCTGCAAAGAGATTAGCAGAATACGATGATCCGGGGAACAAAGGACTAACGTTAAGGCCATTGTATATCGCGATCGCGGGGAACAATGTCTCATGATAGGCTTCGCAGGCGCGAAAACAAAGCCTCTCTCCTTCTTCCTTCGTATGCTGCACTGACAGCCTGCAAGAGACCTTCGATAGATTCAAAGATCTGATCCCCATCAAGCTGGAAGAAATTTTAGTGGATGTAGACCACGCGTACGCTGTACGCACTTGGTAGCCACGGGCAGTTAGCGTTATGCGAATAGTTCTGCCCTCTAACAAAGTGACAGAAGCAGTGGCCTCATGGGGCGATGAGCCTCTGCAGACGTCAAACCGAGCCAGCCCGAAGGCTTGTTCAGAAAGGGCCCTGCTAAGCTCGGCATGATAGAATGAGGTCGACATGATCTTTGGAAATGTGAGTTTCCATGTGTATCGATGTATCCCAGTGTTATATAGTTTTGAAAACCAGGGAGGCAGAGACATGCTAAGAAGCTCCTGTCTGGAAGAACCCCACGACGTCAACTTTAGCGAGGTGTCAACTCCAGCGCTTTAAAAAATGATCATGGTTATTTGCTTGACCCTGGTGCAATTTGAAGTTCAGGAAATATAGTTCCTGTTGGAAGAGGGGCTACACGTAGTGGAGCAGGTGAGACTCGAAGAGGAGCAAGTTTGAGAAAGAAAATCGGTAGTTACCGCGATGACGGTCAGGAGTACAATACATTCCTGAGTTCAACGACCAATCTTTTGTCTTATTTTTACTTGATTTTCAGTCATGAGGCCTTGAGGTACAAGGAAAATAGCACTGGGCCAGATCTACAAGCGCGATCGTACAGGAACACATCCACGCTCATTGAGTCAATAAGCTCTCAGTAATGTCCTCCACAATATAATCAGAGGAGAGCGACGGTCCGCCAAATCTGGACGCAGGAACAACATAATCCCGTAGACGAGACAACCGGAGCACATGGCACTGGTTGACCCGGGAGCGCACGAGACACGCAGCTTGTTATTTCTGATCTGTCCACAGCCCCAGGGTTGCACGGAATCCGATATACGGAAAGTTAAGACAACGGGTATCATGTTAACGAAAACGGGACCGATAGAAGCGAAACGTTTCAGATACGAGTGGAGAGACGGGAACTATGCAACGTTTTCTTACGTTATGCGCATCTAAAGCTTAGAACTCGCAAAGCCTCAATAGGCTGCTGCTTTCTGAGAGACCTTTAGGGAATAGTGCGCGGAACATGCCGTTTCTAGTAACAAAGTACTGGCCCAGAACGACAGCGGTCAAGAAAGGTTTCCAGCTCCAACGTAAAAATCAGCTTGAGCAGACGAGATCATAAGGAAAGTCTCGCTTGAAATCACTGGGCTTTCAACAAGTATGCAGCCCTACCGATCACCGTGGCACCGCTTGAAAGCCCTCGGGCGGAAATCGACACCATCACGTTACTAGCACAGGGAAATCCACACGTCCATAACGCTTTGGAGTTGGTCGAGACCGATTATGTCGAGTGCACAGGTTATTTTCTGGCTTTTTTTTCGGATCAGGACTGCTGACACCCGTGAATTTCACATTAACGTTCGCTTAGAATGCAACTGTGTGCCTGAAGGCGGGTACGAGGAGATTGGATACTGCAGACTCGCGGGTTCATGCAGGGCTGGCCAGAAAGGGTGACGCGAATATTTGAGTTGTTTGACAGGCCATCGGGCCATCGGAAGTGACCATGTGCGTGGTTCGGTAGCGCACGTAGATCCAGAGGAGTGCTTGCCCAATGCCAATATTTGCAAATGTTTAACCTTTTTCCTGATGTCCACTTTAGGAAATTATATTCGACTGCTCGTGACACGCTGCGCATGCCAGTCACGGTGCACGCTCACCAACTTGTACTAGCTACGCATACTGACATTACCAGAAACTCGTGAATCACAAGGTAGTTCACGCTACAATCTCGTTGAACCCGCGTTGTTCCACCCATCATCATTCAGCCATGGACGTGGTCAAGGCAGTGGAAACATACATCACGAAGTTGGTGTCTACGCCCTCTGCAATGAAAGTTCTACTGCTTGACACACACACGGTACATCTTCTCCATACTACTGTTCAATCGTTCAAACTCCATATTTGAAATCGCAGACACCCATTGTTTCACTCGCGTCTACCCAATCTACCCTACTTTCACATCAGGTTTACCTGACCGATCGTATCGACAATGGGAAACGGGACCGGATGTCGCACATGAAATGTGTCTGTTTTCTGCAGCCAAGTGAAGACAGTCTTGATGCCCTTTCCGCCGAGTTAAGAGAACCAAAATACGGGGAATACTACCTGTGTCAGTGCGTGACTACTGAGGGTAGAAAAGGAGATGGACTGCTTACATGAGTTGTATATTTCAGATTTCAGTAACATACTGAGCAAACCTGCCATTGAACGTTTGGCTGATATTGATGAATTTGAAGTCGTCAGGGAGGTGCAGGTAAGTGGGAATTGTTCTACATCGCATTTCTATTGAAGTCTCCCGACTAGGAATATTTTGCTGACTACGCACCCCTGTTGCCTTGCCTGTTTTCTCTCAATCATACACCGACGGCGGAGAAACCTTTGTATGGTTCCTCGCCAAATGTGTGGGACTCCCTTGCGCTTGAGCGCACTGTTCAGGGTATCATGGCTGTCCTTCTCAGCTTGAAGAAGAAGCCTGTGATTCGGTATGAGAAAATAAGCGGGATGGCCAAAAAACTGGCCAGCGAAGTGCAGGTAAATATCGGGCCGGTAAGTTCTTGTGTATAACACTTACGAAGATTGTAGCATCGTATCCAAGCGGAAGCGACGCTGTTCGATTTCCGCTTGACGCAAGTAGCTCCACTGTTGCTGATTCTTGACCGGCGAAATGACCCTGTCACTCCTCTGCTATCACAATGGACCTATCAAGCCATGGTGCACGAGTTGCTGGGCATCCATAATGGTCGCGTAAATCTTAGCATGGTCCCTGGTATCCGTCCAGAGCTTTCTGTATGTCTCTTTAAGTTTTGCACAGCTCATACTCTAATGCCATGTGTAGGAAATAACCTTGACAACGATTACCGACCCTTTCTTTCAAGCACATTATCTTGCGACGTTCGGTGACCTTGGCACTTCCCTGAAAAACTATGTCCAATCATATCAGTCGCGTTCCCTCGCCCAATCACCTTCATCCATTAACTCAATATTTGACATGAAGCGCTTTGTGGAAGAATATCCAGAATTTCGGAAGCTGGGTGGGAATGTTAGCAAACACGTCGCTTTAGTAGGCGAGCTTAGCAGGCTGGTTGATCGTGACAGGTTACTTGAAGTAGGAGAGGTGGAGCAAGGGCTGGCCACGAGCTCCGGTTCAGACTTTAAGGTTTGCATTCTAGGGTCGATGTCAATCTTTGACACTTACGAAAAGGGGCAGAACGTACAGGCCGTGGTCAACAACCCAGTCGTGCCAGCTTGGAACAAGTTGCGGGTCGTCATTCTCTACGCACTGCGTTATCAAAAGACACAGACGAGCAATATTGCCGCCCTAATTAATCTGCTACTATCCAATGGCGTGTCTCGTGAAGAGGCTCGGGTAAGCTTTGCACTTGAAGAATTACACAATATGCACCTGTACTCATTCCTTTTCAGCTAGTTTACGTTTTTTTGAACGTCGCCGGATCAGATCAACGACAGGATGATCTATTCTCCACCGAGTCTCTATTAGCCAAGGGCAGATCCGCTTTGAAAGGACTCAAGGTATTTTAAACACAGCATTGCATCGCGTGCCATAGTAATAATGTTCAGGGTGTCGAGAATGTGTATACTCAACACACGCCACATCTTTCTCAAACTCTAGAGAATCTCTTCAGGGGCCGATTGAAGGATACTGCGCACCCTTTCTTGGACGGGACTGGTACTAACATGGGATTGCAGCGGTGAGAAATGTGCCTTTGAGCAATGTCCGAGCTTTTTATTCGACTTTTTAGGCCTCAGGATATCATCATTTTCATGATCGGTGGAACTACATATGAGGAAGCAAGGACAGTCGCACTTCTGAACCAAGAAGCAGGTAATTCTCTGACAGGGACAAGAATTCTACTTGGCGGCACTTGTGTGCACAACTCGTCCAGGTGCGTAGTATATTTGGGAAGAATGAGGAGGCGACGTACCTACAACCCTTATCAGTTACGTTGAGATGATTCGCACTGCCGCAGAGAAATTTCCCGTGTCAGTTTACGAGCCACCTCCAGAATCCGCAACCACTGCTCCATCTTTGAACCTCAATCTCGGCGGTGTCAATGTCAGTCTTGGAGGTCCAACTGGAACGGGTGTGTATAGAACAAGCTCTGACCATGTCGGTGTTCAAGCCGAGGGTATCAAGGATGGTGTGCGCAATTTTATCGGACGGGTGAAGCAAGGTGTAGATAAAATCGGATTGCAGTAAAATGTACATCATACTATAAGCGCTCTCTGGATCTGGTTTACCTTACTAGTCAAATTCGTTTCTTCAAGTTCCAAATAAAGCACTAGCTCGGATATACGTACGAGTTGGAGTGACACGTAGCCCGTACACAGCGTCCACGTGGTCTAAACCAAGTATACTCCGGACCTCTCGCTTGTCTCTGGCCAATCATTTCCAGCTTTTTCTCCTCTCCTCCCGTTCTTTCTTTCGCTTCATTGTGTTTGCTATTATTGAAGGTCGTAAATGGCCAAGGGCTTTTTATCCGGGTTCAAAGGCATAGATGCCTTTGGAAAGGTGAGAACCGATCGTTTTGTTGAAGTGGGAACGGGCAAAGACTGACCGTGTATGCGGCGCACACATCCAGACTACAGAGGATGTCAAAGTTAAAACCCGTACCGGGGCTCTGCGTAAGCCATTGTCCGGAGCTACTACGATGAAGTGAAGTTGACAGCGGGATGTCTAGTAACCCTCATATCCGCATGTATCATTCTGGCATTTACAACGATGGAGTTTTTCGATTACCGACACGTTGGCGTCGACACGTCGATAGTAGTCGACCGCAGCCGTGGGCAGAAGCTGAGCGTACGGTTGAACGTCACATTCCCCCATGTACCGTGTTACTGTGAGCTCATTCACGCATATCGCTGACTGTACATTCTAACTATGGTTGCGTTTGTCTTTGACTTGTATAGTGCTCAGTCTGGATGTTATGGACATCTCTGGCGAGCAACAACGCGATATTTCACATAATATTCTCAAGAAGCGGATCACTAAGACCGGTGTGGACATGCCTGCATCGCGGGGTGGGGACCTCCGTAACGAGATCGACAAGCTTGCTGAACGACGCACGAATGGGTATTGTGGCTCGTGCTATGGTGGACAGGAACCAGAGAGTGGGTGCTGCAACTCGTGTGAAGAAGTTCGACAGGCGTATACAGACAAGGGGTGGAGTTTCACCAATCCCGACGGTATCGAACAGGTGAGAATGACGCTGAATTATTTATAACAAGTTGTCAAGGGATCTATTACAGTGCGTTGAGGAAGGATGGTCAGACAAGCTTAAGGACCAGGCGGATGAGGGGTGTAATGTTTCTGGACGCATCCGGGTGAACAAAGTCGTTGGAAGCATCCAAGTTACTCCAGGACGTTCCTACCAGGCAGGTTCGCGCACCTTCCAAGATCTGGTACCGTACCTTCGCGACGATGGTAACCCACACGACTTCAGCCACACTATCCATGAGTTTTTCTTCATGGCAGACGACGAGTACAACCCTAACAAGGCGAAGATTGGGAAGGATATGAAAGAACGTATGGGGATTTCAGACAATCCATTAGATGGTGCTGAAGCGAAGGTAAAAATATGTTTGCATGGTTCTTAATGCTTCTGCTTACACGATCGCAGACGAACAAGTCGTCGTACATGTTCCAGTATTTCCTCAAAGTCGTATCAACACAATTCCGCACACTGGAAGGCAAAACCGTGAGTATATGAATCAAACTGGCCGCACAACTTGATTGCCTGAATAATGCAGATCAACACGCACCAATATAGTTCAACGCAATTTGAACGTGATCTGACGAAGTTCAATGAAGGCGAGAACAAGCAAGGCGTGTTTACTCAACACGGCGTCGCGGGCGCACCAGGTATGTTGAAGAGCATGGATCATCAGTTGATGTTTTAATACATTTTCAGGTGCATACTTCAACTTTGAAATTTCACCCATCCTTGTCGTGCACTCTGAAACGAGGCAGTCGTTTGCTCACTTCCTCACTTCGTAAGTGACATTATACCCAGTTACATCTCTCCTATTCACTCTGCCTATATAGTACTTGCGCTATCGTCGGAGGTGTTCTTACCGTGGCTGCCCTGCTGGACAGTATCCTATTTGCCACCGGACGCAAGTTGAGGAAAGGTGGTAGTGACGGGAACGTGAAGCTCATGTGAAACCGTGTACCATAGCAAAATATTCAACTTGAGCACGTTCCTTGAATATTTATCACATCTTGCGCATAACTTCATACAATGATGATTGTGCATCAGCTAACTGCGTGCTTCAGCCTCCCAAAAACACAAGATACGCGTCTACGCTGTTTGGAATCACTGATACAACGACGAGAATTTGCAAAAAAAACCCACCCTGAAACATCTGCCTGCTTTGGCCTAGTCTCTTCACTCTCTCCATCGGCTAAGATTTGAATGCGCCCTCTTTCTTGCCAAATCTACAGGTTCCGTGGGCACCAGGGAAACGTTCTACATATTATGAGCGACACTTGCAGTTAAAAATAGCTCCTGACGTGAACGATGTCACAACCACGTACTTCTGGGGGATGCTTTATATAATCGTCGTGAATATTGTGATTCGTGGTGGGCGGCCGGACGACGGTCTGGAAGGGCTTCTTGAAGGTCATGGCTTCGTCTGTGATGCCGCTGCCCTCCTTCCGCGCTAGCTTCTCAAGCTCATGACGGTCGATACCGGGTATTTTGTTCAGCGTTACGAGATACGGTGGTGTCATGGAGAACGATGGGTAGAGAGAGTGGACATGACATCATTCTGACGACACAGGTATGCTGTTCATCGGACAACAAACCACAACGCTAGTACACAAGATCAATAGCAAGAGCACCCTGAGCTAATTAGACCGTCGATTTGCAGGTGATGATACATCGTAATGTGGGGGGATCTTCACAGAATGTTGCTGTGTTCTCCAGAGAGTTCACGGTGGCGATCCAGGCTGAGATCACGACGCCAAATCACTGACTCTTATCATTGTAAATGTACGCGGTAATCGGACGAGAACAAAAGTATCAGAGCAAAAAGAACAAAAAAGAAGCCGTTAGGTATATTTACTGATTATACCATAGTCCAAGGTGCATTTGGTCCGCTGATACGAATTGTTAAGTCAGTACCTTTTGCCATATTTATTGAATAACGAACTACAGCCCCAAGTACGAGATGCTCCACTCACGAACCATTCAGGCGTTGTTCGATGCTGAAGAACATTACTAGGACGAGATTCAACATTGAATCAGTGCGCAAGTCTTGCAAAACATCAAGGAGAACACACCCGTCTCTACATGCCACACTTGCTCGAGGGAACCCGAAGAGCTCTAACTTTGACTTTGCCGGCCTCGAAGCCAGTGCCATCAGTCAACTCTCCGAATGCCTCTGGTGAGATATTGAATGTGTAAGAATTATCAACAGCGGTGATGTAGACGGTAGTCTGGCTGCCGCTAGGCGTGGCGTACTTGAGGCTCCAGCAGGAACCACACAAGGTGGAGTTCCAGACGGCACCTGGAACACCTCCGATGTTGGGGAATGAAGGGAGGGAGGAAAAGGTGGTGTATCCCTTGGTCACAAGACCATTTTTGCCGTTGGAGCAGGAGACGATATTGAGAGACGCGTCAGGGTTGCTGTACGTATAGTCCCATGTAACATATGCGGGTTCTCCCAACGCTGGGAGGGTGAAGGCGGAGAGAAGAGCAACGACAAGGGCGAACTTCATTGTGTAAGAGCTGTTTGATGTGAATGTTGTGCGGTGGCTTGAGAAGACAGTTTCGATACCTCCTACTGACTTTTATACGTCGGAGCAAAGTATCAGATGGCAGAGCGAGCTTCACTCGATGCACATGGACAGAAAATCGGCAGGAGGTCAGCGACATTTGGTTTCTTGCTTCGATCTTCCTTGATTTACCCTCAAGACATCAAGCACGTACCTAAGCTGGAAGTAGCGCGGGTGTCCAAATGCAGTAGTCATATTCCCCAGATAAACGCCATGGAACGAGGGCCGTTACGAGTGCAACGGAATCAGGATAAGGCCAAGGGGCAGGTCGACTGCAAAATTCAAGGTAAAAAAGATCTCCAGATCATCTGATGAAGGAAGTCCTTACTTCTCCCTGATATACGCCAATTATAGATGCGTATGCCACTAAACTGGATGTAGGTCACCCTCTACTGCCCGTCGCCACGCGACGATCCCGCCTTGAGTTCCCATTATCGGCAGCGAGTGAGCTACTGCCAGCTGAGACATAGCTGCCGAAGCCTTCAGTACCTGAGTATGCGTGTAACACTGCCAGCTTAACTAGTCCACTAGCACTCCCCAAATGTCAATTGGTCGAACGAACGCCGTCATGAGCAACATACGCATACGCAGTAGTAAGCAGTCTACACTGGACGTCGTCTCCGTTAGTGTAAGAGCACCCCGCTCGGAAGGATTCCGCGCTCCCCAGAAACCAACCGTGAATGCGACGGACTACGTTCATTTGGGTGTACCATGACAAGTGACATATGCAAGTTTGAAAGGGGATAGTTCAGTTTTCTGACTTGGGAAGTAACATGACATGACGCGTGGCTTTTGATCCAAAAAATCGGACTTCGACGCCGGGAAGGCAACCTGATGTACTTCGCTCAGCCACCTTGAGTGCTGGAATATGTTTAATCCAGAGGCGGATGCAATGAAGGTACCATCAGAGTTTAAGCTCAAGTTTCAAACTCCACAACAATATAATGGTCAGCGCAACGGCACAGATCTATGTCACACGTCCGCGTCACCTGTCGATGGATCGTCCGCTGAGAGGTACTAGCCATGTGCTCCACAGTCGGAAGGAGTGCCGTCGGATACGTTGGGATGAGTACGAGCGGATCCGTTATTAACTTGGCGTGCGTTTGACATCGGCCGAGTACCATCTCCTCAAATGCATTTGTTTTCTTCAGACATCCTTCCGAATCTCCCTCTTGTCACGTGCGCTCGCCTGAGCTAGTTCCTGACAATTATAGAACCAGGGGTTCGCGTTGACATTTGATCTCTGGGTTTTGATAGTACCCTGGAGTTCTTCAATCCGAGTACGGTCATTGACCGGTGCTTTGAGTTGAGTCTAGACAATATTGTACCTGTCCCAGTGAAAATTGGTCGGACGCCCTCGCAGAGAATGACGGCAATACACTTGAATGGATAGAACTTCTACAATTTATGATTTGCATGCTGATTCAAGACCAGGCCACAGTGTGTGATACGAGCACAAACTAAGGGCATGGTTCAAACCTTCCTGGCTTCTGCCGCATCGTTAAAGTGTGTGCTTTGATACTTCCTTCGATGATCCACTTCGGTCTCAGGGATTCTCAAGCTTCAAGATTTACTTGTTTCGCTCAAATGCAGAGGCTCACTAATGCATTGACAAGGTAAGTCATAATAAATTATTATAGATCTTTTCCTACACTCCAAAACTTCACCGCCAGACCCGTTCAAGTGTTACCCCACGAAACTTCAGTCACCTCATCTGCATTCCCCCCCTAGTTCACATCTTATACGACTTCTGCCACTCTGTCCACATCTCCGATCAAATGCCGTTGTCCACGACCTCGCCCACGCTCATCGAGACAGCACAGGCCTCCTCGTCTACGGAGCACCCGTTCAGAACCACCCATGGGGATGGATTGTGAACCTCAACGCATGATCCGAAACAATGCCTCTCTATCGCTCGAATTGTTCGGGGAGAAGGCCGCAAGCGATCATTTGGTCGGCTATGTGCAAGTTGCATACCAACTAGACTAGAAGGTGTCTTTGAGGATAAACTGACGGCCGAGAGCGTGTTCCGTCGAGACTGGCGCGAAACACGACTTCCAGCGCACTCCGACGTTCGTGCTGGGAGCGTGGTGTAGGAGAGGGGGAAGACGAGTGGGGACTCTGCCTATTGCAGAAGCCCGGGTCGAGAAGGGCGTCGCCTGCTTCATCAGTGCGTTCTCGGGGATCGATCAGCTCAGTATGTCGTAGTCCAGGGTCGCTCCTGGGCAATCGGTCTGCTGTTTCTACTAGAGTCAGTTTTCACTGGGCTTCATCGTCGGTTTTGCTGGTGCAATGCTAACGAACATCTCCGCAAAGTGCGTCTCAATCTCATCCTCATAGCACGCGCGTTAATATCGACTGACACAGCATCGCGATATTCTGAGCCACGCCCTCCTCCATGGTGGGCATCGTATGCGCCATGTTCAACTGCGGTCTGCAACTCGGCTCTGCCGTCGGTTTGGCTGTCATGTGCTCTATCCAGACGAGCGTGCAAACTGAGAATGGGGGTCCTTCGAATTATGAAGGCCAGTCTGCTGGGTTTTGGTTCATACTCGCTTGCATCTCTGTTGCTGCGCTGGCCGTTTGGGTCTTCTACCACGCCGACACAGCCCGAGGTTATGTCTAGGGAACAGGTCTGTGATGGAATAAGTCTTGAGGATGAATTATGTTCTTCAGGTTGTGCGAGTTGACGCGGAATGTTGACAAGGCTTGAAGGAATTGAGACTCGCAGGGTTCATTAAATGGCGACAATTTGCGTTCGGTTCACGTTTGAACCTGAAAATGAGCGGACCTGCCTATTATGAACCGTTTGCAAAGGTCCAGTTCGAGGTTCGTCGAGTCTGGTAGAACCAGACCATGGCAGCACTACATAGACCTTATCGACACATATTTCGCAAGCCTCGTCAATGCACGCTTGGTCTCGCTATCCGGCCAATTGTTCAAATCGAAGTAGGAGGATGAGTACTCGAGGAGCCTGTCAGAGAATCAATATGCAAATATGTAGTGATAAGACACGCGTACCATTCTGGTCAGACACCTGTCGGACGGTCCGTATATACGGTATGTTGTGAACACGAACTCGTTGAAAACCACCCACTCCGGTTGTGTATCCAGTCTGCACGATGGATGCAGCACCACGGACTATCACCAAGAAAATTTCCATCAGCACGCTAACCACAACTCAAAGCCAAACTAACGCATCTGATTGTCCTTAATGCCCCATTTTTCTCACTTTGTGTGTGACTTGCATAAAAAAGCCACATCACAACATCAGCAAACTACAACTTTCCCCACAGAAGGCACACGACTTATGTTCCCACGACAGCTGATCACAGATTTCACAGTTCCGCCAAGAGTCACAGCAAATAGTACCACAAGGTATACATTTATTACAATCACTCACAGTTCGACATGACTCACAGGACTTTACATTTGAAAGTCGAAGGAGTCCGAGTTTGAATAGCTACTAGTAGTAAGTAGTATATACTAGTACTAGTAATACCATAGAAATGCGAACTTGATCTTTTATTTTGGACTATGGATGGCTTCGGACAATGCAAAATTACATTCAAACACCGAGATAACGACATGAGCATAAACATTGTATGAACTGTAAGGAAAACACATAGTACTAATAGTGCTAGTAGTACACGAGGCTAATATCATAATGTGACATATAGTAGTGCAATGTCGGAAAAAAGTTCCCAGGGTTTTAAGGCCTTGCAAGACATTTTAATGCTCTATTTGGAGGGTGTCCTTATAAGGGCTTTTAAACGGGTAAGATAATATTTTAATGCTCATTAAAAGGCACTTACATATAAGGGCCCTTTTGATGACCTTACATTGAGTTTTACCTCGCCATGCCTCAGAACGACCCGTTAAAATGCCTTGTAAGGCCCTCTTAAGGTGCCGAGCTGAACTTATAATCCGGCAGTATTATAATGGTACCTAACTTTTTTCTGACAAAACTGTTCATGACAAACAGGTCAGTCAAGCTGGATAGTGAGAGCACGGCCACTTGGACCTTATGTCGTAGCAGATGATGAATTTTCTGCACTTGATAAGTACGATTGCTTTCTCTCACAGATCATAAACTTACTGGTACACTGAGGATCACTTTCACGTTGTCTTGCAGATAAATGAGACCAGCCATGCTGTTTGAAGGCAAGTCTCATGCACCCCAGGCCCATGTCTGCATCGTCTAGTGTCTTCCCCACGACATCTACTCAGAATCTGAGCAAGCTCAATAATACTTCATTTTCCTGTAGTAAACACTCTGCAAGTGCCTTTTGTGCCTAAAATACTTCACGCTTGGCTCGTGCGAGGTCCTTAACAAGTTTCACTTCAGAATTAGTTGGATTCTGTATTGACTGATAAAAATTTAGGTGCCTTCAAGAAATGAAAAATGAAAAATTGACTTTACCAAGGAAGTAATAGCTTCAAGAAGCTTGTAAAAGTCCATCCCGCGTGTCCCTGGTCTCGCGTCATCATGGTACTGATGAAGAATGTCGTCAGCTAGACCTGACACTTTTGTCGATAATATGCGCAGATTGATGGTCATTGTGTATTGAGAAATAGTTTCAGGAAATGCCGGTATTAGTATCAGCCATATTACTGAAGTCTGTGTTTCTTACTAGGCTGAGCGTCTTACTACTAGTATGTCTCATCATGATTCCAGCTGCCCCTCATGCGGCAAAATCTTCAAAGACCACACTTCCATTGCTTGTCATATGAGCCAGCCTCAGTCTGGATGCAACACATGGTTAGAGGATATGATCAACTCCATTTCACCTGGTGAAGATCATAACATGGGCTCTGCAGACGATGAGGACTTCACTGGACTTCCTCGTGATGTTTCTTATGATCCGGGACTTGGAGGTGAGGAAAATTTTCATTATTTTGGTGCAGGAGGAGAGGACATCCCTGATGGAAATGAAGTGCATGCCGGTGAAGTAATCAACTACTTTCCAGAGCCTCCTCTGGCCTATGAGGATGGCTACACATTTCTGGGGCTGTTTGATGCAGATGAAAACAGCGTATGTATATCGGAAAACGAACCTCTATTATCCATTTAGCAGTCGATGAGATTGGCAACTTGCAGCATGGCTCTTGCATTTGGGCCTGAGCATGGGGAAGATCGACTCTTTTCTATCACTCAAAATGGTCAGTTTGTCTACTTCACTTTCACTGCTAATGATTCACGTCTTTTTAGATCAAGGATTTACCCTTGTTATTCTGCTCCGCCAGAGAACTATGCGGTCAAGCTGAGATGCTGCCCAGTGGTCCATGCTGGAAGTCTCAAGTCATTCATACATTACATCCTACAAAGTCGCCAGTAATTCTGTACTGGCATGACCCTATTGAATGTATCACCAGCATCTTCAATCACCCACTGTTTCACTGTGATATGGATCTCATGCCTCACAAGATCTACTCTACTGCAGAGAGACTATGTCGTGTATACACCGGATGGATGTCAGGAAACGACGCATGAGATATGCAGGTGAGTAGATAGTTGAATATTGAGGTCTGGCACTCATGTATTCTTAAATTCAGCAATACCCAAGGGTGCAACCCTCCTCGGCACCATTCTCTCCTCTGACAAGACAAACATCACTGCATTAACGGGGGATCATGTAGCTCATCTGCTCCTAATTAGCCTCTCCAACATCCATATGAACGTACACTTGAAATCGTCAACCAACTCTTTCGTTCTCGCTGCCCTGTTACCAGTCCCCAAGTTCATTCACAAGAAAAAGCGAATGATGGGTGTATTGGAGGATCGCTTTATACATCAATGCCTCAATATTGTTCTTGAGCCGCTCAACATGGTGTCATGCTGTCTGATCCTATCAGATGCAGTCGGTATTGCTTCACTGCTCTCGCGAGCTATATCACTGACACCCCCGAGGCCATGATGCTGGCAGCCGTTGGTGGAAAAACGTCGCCGGAGATGATGGCAATGTATAAGCAATTCAGGGATGCATTCCATCATGAACCCTGGATGAAATCAATGATGATTGCACAGCTTGCTGTTGTGCGCTCATGTGCTGATCCTAATGATCTCGAGGCATATTTCCGCGAGGAACAGAAATTCCGACTGAATGGCATCGACAAACCGTTCTGGTGGGACTATGCACTAGCAGACCCCTCCTGGTTTCTTACACCGGAATCACTCCATCATCTTCATAAAGAATTCTTTGACCATGACACCCAATGGCTCATTCGCGCTGTTGGAGATTCTGAAATAGACTTCCGGTTCTCAGTGTTACAGCCCATCACCGGTTATCGACACTTTTATGGTGGCATCTCCAAATTAAAACAAGTCACTGGTCACTGTGAAGGAGAAATTCAACGTTATATCATTGCTATCAGTGCAGATGCAGCACCTCCTCATGTCATCGCTGCTGTACATGCACTCATGCAGTTCCAGTGTAGGTTTACAACTCAGTGTGGTGCTATAGGCTCCAAACTGATATCTTTATGTTGTAGGTCGTCCAACACCTAGTCTGCTATACTTGCGGAACAAGTGCGTTCGACCCTAAAGGGGAAGCTAGTGCAGCAAAGGTCAAGAAATGAGTGCCGAAGGTGCTGCTTAGCGGCCGATGCAAAGCGCGGGAAAGCGGCGGGTGCGTGCGTGGGAATGAAGCGGGAAAGTGCGGCTGCGAAGCGGCTGCAGCGCAGATGGTTCAGATGGTAATAGAGATGATAGACAATAGAATTAGACGTAAAGCGGAATGGTAACAGACGCGGTGCGGATGGTAAACAGATACAGATTGCCAATAGCTACCAACTGTAGGCTAAAGGGAGTTGCTACTGGAATGTCCAGAAAACCAAGCTACTGAAGGATATGTACTGCTAGTGTTTAAGTATTGCGCTAAGCGCTGTCATGCAGAACCGAGCTGATGTGCTACCGAATAGGGTATGTAAAGCTATATGTAAATAAGGGTCTATGATGAAATAAAGGTGGTGCGATGTAGAAATGGTCTGATATGTAAATATAATCGTAGAATAATGTACCGTTGGGTTGGTTGGACATGGACAGATGGTGCGAAACGTCGGCCAATGAAGCGCGGGAACGCTGCGGCCGTCGCGGGAAAGTAGCGGCTGATGCGCGCAGGTTGCGGGAAAGCTGCGCTTGATGTAGTAAAGTAATAGGATGCTAAGAGATACTGCAAAATAGCCTCTACGAGGCTACAAGGACTTCCAGTCCTACACTGGTATCTCATACAGTCACCATGTATTGACAAGGAAGATCTTGGGTGCATCTCAGGTGCTCTAACTGAGTTTCACACGAACAAGGATGCAATCCTTGCTGCTGGGGCTCATCGGGGGAAGGGAAATAGAAACATCGACAACTTTCATATTCCCAAGCTAGAGCTAATGCAGAGTATCATTCCCAGCATTCACAACTCTGGCGTCATAGGACAGTGGTCTGCCGACATCACTGAACATGCCCACATTACGGAGATCAAAGACCCTACCAGATCAAGCAATAACAACAATTACGACACACAAATTTGTTGACACCTTGATCATGCTGAAAAATGTCGTTGTTTTGAGCTTGCCACTAGCCTTCTGCATCATGGACAGAGGGGTGAGGAAGAGGGGTCGGACTTGGATGCTGAAGATAGCAATATTGAAGCTGATGTTGACACAGAAGATGTTCCTATCAACCCAACTCAACACCCACACCAAACTACAAATTACTTTGTGATTGCGAAGGCACTTCAGCACCGAGAAGTGGGTTCTGTGCCTGTACCACCTCACTCCTTTGTCGACAAACGCACTGCCTTTCATCTTGGATATGACCCCTCCATTTGGAGCATCACCATTGATGAAGTCACGATTACATTTGGCTTACCAGATCTATGACCAGCCATAGCTGATTTCCTTCAATGTGAGGCAACTTATGGACACCAGCATGTTCATTCAATAAGTGGCCCTAGAAGGGCTGGATCTACTGCCATCCTCCCATTCGACAAAGTACAAGTCTGGTTCAAAATTCGCTTGCAGGAGATGGACTTCCACGACACTCACACAATCAAACCAGCTCAGATGCTAAATTATGTACCACCAAACAACCCATGGATTCTAGGCCGTTATGATACAGTCATTGTTGAGACCAGTGCAGGCTACCCATGGCCTAGTAGTCGTCTTTCGGGTACTTTCTGTCTTGTGTTACAATAAATGTATGTTCACTCACTGTTACAGGTCATACAATCATGCAGATTAGACTCATTATGCGACCCATTGGCAAGAGTGGTACACAATGGTCCTGGAAGGATCAGTTCCTCATGTATGTCCAATGTTTTGATCTTTCAAATGATCGTGATCCAGCCACACAGCTTTACACACTGAAGCGAGTGAAATGCTCAAATGGAAACCGGATGGGCGACATTATTCCGGTATCTCAATTGAGGGCTCCTGTTCGACTGGTCCCTCGCTTTGGCGCTACTGCTGACAAGCATCTCTCAGCATATAACAGTCTAGAGCATGCTGCTGAGTTTTGGCTGAATGAATATTGGGATAAAAGCACCTTCCTTGCACTATCAGCCTGAGATTTGATACAAGATAGGGTCATTTTTGTAGTAGACATGCCAAATGGATCAAAGATTGTTCTTGTACCTGTACCTATGCATTCATACTAGCGCTCCCTCATGCCACTCAGTAAACATTTCTGCTCAGTGGGCCTCGGGATGAAGCTGGCATCTTTGATGTCAGCTCCTGAGGTTCACGATGTAACAACAATGGATCGACTCACCAGCTCGGGACTTATTCGCTTGATTTTGCAGGAATCTTCACCTGCCAACAGTGACGAGCTTGGCCATGTATTATCACTAATTTTCAAGTCCTGTACGACTGAAGTTTTCAGAGCAAAGGATCTCAAAGTTCTGTTGAAGAAAATCCACCCTGATACCAGGATCGAAGCATTTCAGCACATTGAAGATGAAGCAACCCTCGTACCACTCTATGACACGCACACATGTCATTGGAACTGGCCACTCCCAGAGTCACATTCAGATAAACTCGCTGCCAGTGGGGAGAGAAGTAATCAGGCAAGAGAGAACAATAGCATGGACCAGGGAGAGAGGGAAGGAGAAAATAGTGGTGCCACGGATCAGAGGTCGGGAGAATGGGTTATTGTAGATGACACTGGTGCACCCACTGCCTCTGAGTCACAGGTTGAGAGTCTTAGCCAGCCTGAGGACAACATAATGTCAACAAATGCCAGCTCTGCCAGTAGTGACAAAGCCCCGGTGCTCCATGAAATCGACCGCGATTCTACAAAACCATGGACGACCGAACAGGTTTTTGCATCCTTCAATAACCTTCTTACCTTTGCCCTCCTCCTGCAGAAGCCTGCACTCGCTCAGAAGCATAACTTATCTCGTATCTGGAACACATCGAACTCCTCGTCTGCAATACATGGTGATGAAATCGTGCACAAACCAGACCTCACCCTGCTCGATGATATCGAGGCTAGATGGGATACAATCAAGGCCATATGTGAGCTAACTTCAAGTGCCTACTTACCTTCACATCCCCTTGCCAAAACTCTCAACACCAAGGCTTACCTGCTTCTCAAACACCAACTGTGGAGACGCTTCGCACTGTTGGTCTCCATTTGCAATGGGTATCGCGAGCTTTGCGTCCATCTATATGACCACTCGGGCGGAGTTGTCAGCCCTTGCATGCATATCAATTGAGAGCCAGACAAGTACTTACAAATATTTTCATCCATTGTCTTTGGCAATCTTGAGTGTATCGGACTTGACCCCACAATTACTATCTTGAAACACACACTTCGATCCCCTGATTTCCATGTTGTCAAACCCTTACCTTCTCCTCACCAGACTGCTGAAGTGATCCCAGATGCACTGATCATGGAGAGTGAGACCACTGAGATCGAAGATATTGTGAGCGAGCCCCCACATACCATAGAGGACATGGTGCCCAACCCTGCAGCCAACATCCCTCCAAACCTGGTTCCCCTCATAGACGAAGTCCCTAGTGATTCTTTGAGTGGACTCCTCCCAGAGCCGATAGGAATGTGCTATCTGGCAAGAAAGGATGAGGAAGAGTATATCGTCAAGGATCACTGGGTCCTCGGGAGTAAATCAGAGGTCCTGAATGAAATTCGTATGATGGAGAAAATGGATGGGATCTGTGGTGTTCCTCCCCTTGTCGAATATTGGCTTGTGGAGATGGAACCCGGTATAACACTTGGGTTGGTGTTGGGTACGTATCTGGTGATAATCATGTTTTATATTGCTCGACACACTTCCTGTTACGCACTCAAATAGATCTGTTATGTGGAGCCCTAAGAGGGGCATCGTCTGCTAACGTTCATGACGTAACAGGAAGGGTCCAGTGTAGCGACTGAGACTGGCGACGACGAGTCGGCAGATATCAGAGACACGCGTGTCACGTGACTTCTAAGATGGATGTCTTCGAGGTCACTGACATTCTCAAAGTAAGGACAGTCTTGTCCGAACAATGAGTAGTCGACCGAGGTAGACTTAGGCACGATGAGCACCTAAGAAAAGATACTAGAGACTGAAGCTGAGGGGGCTTCAGAGGGAAGTATGTTCCAGGGAAGATTGAGTAGATTCAAGTTAGGGAATCTAGTACAGGGTGACCGACTACTTATACTAAGTGGAAAGGGTTAAGGGCAAGGCTACCATACTGTAGGTAAGGGCAAAGGGGAATCGGAAAGGATATAGGTATGCTGGAAGCAGAGCCTGATTAGTGATGTGAGGTCGAATGTGGAATGAGGCCGAGAAACGTTGGAATGAGCCAATGGTAAGTGATACAATGCACAGCACGCATGAGTCAAAGGAAAGATAAGACAAGATAAGGAAAGCCATGTTGGTGGCATGAGTCAGAACGAGTCATAGCCTGAGGGCACGTGCGCACATTGGTGCGATAGGAGGGGGACGAGGGACGGGAACGGTCCCAAGGATCCAGTCAACGGATAGTCGGTAGAGAAGTACGAGCCGGAGGCATACAAAGGTGAGGATGAAGGGGAAAAATGATAGGGGGGCCATGTAGCCGATGTTACTTGTAACACTTCCGATCTTCCGAAAGTTCCATGTGCTTGTCCAAGTTGTCCGAAGGTTGTCCACCCTTTTCTGAAGCCTTTCTAGCTTTCCTGATCCTCTGTACCATGTCCTATCCTTGTCCATTTGACTTCACTGGTGCGTTTTTCACTTGATTATCTGTTATTGATTATGTCTAGGGGCACATACATCGAAAACCCTTGCTAATATGTATAGATATGCACCTTGTGCACTATTACAAGTATGTCTTCATAGCAACTCGCCTTGAGTCTTATTACATTTCGGATGTCTTATCTCGCTACAGTTTTTGCCTATGCAGATTCCGGACTTTCACGTTGTAGGATATATTCTGGCTCGCTAGATACTCGCAACTCACTTCACTTCCCTTGTTTTGAGTCATAGTTAGTGGTAGTCACTTCTGGATTTTAGTACTTCGTGCAATCGATCTTTGTCCATTCGGAACGATTGTTTGGCCTCGCTGCTGCCATTTTACTATTGAAATCCTTAAGTCTTTCGACAAACTTTTGCTAGTCATACTATGCAGAGTTCTATACTTAGACAAACACTGTAATCTCTACCGGAAACCTTACTGTTTCACCGAAAGCTTGCCAGAAGCTACGTGCAACCTCGGACCTTCATTTCTCGATGTTGGACCTACAGTGGCTCAAAAAAGTGTCTGAATGTTTATAGCTTTTCATGTAATTGCTTTATCATGTGTCAGGACATGGGAATATGACTAAGCTATAGGGAGGTGTCTGAAGGGTCTGCATCTCATCTTTACTTTTGTTCCCTATAGCATGGAAATATAATGATATTGTGCGAAGATATAACTATTTTAAAATGATGACTCATCCAGACACTTTTTTGACTTTGAGTTTGACTACTACAATCTCTACAATTCTAGTACTATATGTGGCCTCCTCTTGCCCTAATCACTTCTTCCACTCTTCTAGACATATTCTCTATTAACTTTGGTCATTCCTCCTTAGTATTCTTATCACATTCTGCTGTAACGCTGTCCTATAGCGCAAATAGCCCCTATGGTGGATCTTAATATGCTACAAGCAATTTCTTGGGTGACTCCCAGGGATATTCAATAGGTTTGATGTCTTATATCTGTTCTGGATATGATAGAATAGTAATATCATAGTTTTTAAGCTATTTTATAGCCAACTTAGAAGATTGCTCTATATGACTCAAGATCTCTTGATCACTATATTCTAATTTGACAGGCTGCTAATGCTACCAAGGCCACTAAATTGATTATTTCCATCATCTCTATAACCTTCTCCACTCAAGTAGTCAGTAACACTCTTAAGACAGCTGATCTTCATGCTATAACCAAAAGAAAAAGATCCTTCTGCCTTCAACCTATCAAAAGAGAAGATAAATTGCTGCTTTAAATCACAAATATTGGACTGATGATGGATAAAATTGGGTTAACTGTTTAGATGAGACTAAAATCAATAAAATAAGATCAGGTGGACAGAAATTTGTATCAGAAAAGATAGGAGAATCATCAAGATAAAGAGAAGTCAGTCAAGCACCTACATAAGTTTCAAGGAGAAAATCAGATGGTATGGGGCTGTATGGAATGAAGTGAAGTGGGAATTTTCTATGAAGCTAAGAGGAGGATGAATGCAGAGCAGTAAATCTTCATTTCATGAGAGTGTCTGCTCAGAAGTATGCAGAAGTCATGGGTGAATGAAGAAGATACTGTTTGGTTACAAGATAATGACCCTGAGTATACCTCTAAATTGATCACCAATAGCTTAAAGACCATGATATTACTATTCTATCATATCCAGAACAGATACAAGACATCAAACCTATTGAATATCCCTGGGAGTCACCCAAGAAATTGCTTGTAGCATATTAAGATCCACCATAGGGGCTATTTGCGCTATAGGACAGCGTTACAGCAGAATGTGATAAGAATACTAAGGAGGAATGACCAAAGTTAATAGAGAATATGTCTAGAAGAGTGGAAGAAGTGATTAGGGCAAGAGGAGGCCACATATAGTACTAGAATTGTAGAGATTGTAGTAGTCAAACTCAAAGTCAAAAAAGTGTCTGGATGAGTCATCATTTTAAAATAGTTATATCTTCGCACAATATCATTATATTTCCATGCTATAGGGAACAAAAGTAAAGATGAGATGCAGACCCTTCAGACACCTCCCTATAGCTTAGTCATATTCCCATGTCCTGACACATGATAAAGCAATTACATGAAAAGCTATAAACATTCAGACACTTTTTTGAGCCACTGTATGCCAGATGCCTCGGACAACTCATCGGACACTTCAGACAATTCTTCAGAAATCTGAATGTACTTGAGGTATCATTCTCTTTTCTCACCTTCAATATTAACAAGATATCCCTTGCATTTATATCAAGAGATAATTCTACAGGCAGTCTCTTTGGGACAAACATCTCACTCGCACTCTTGAGTCTTAAGGTAACACCTTTTGTATAGCCCACCAGGAATCAACTCTTTACACCGGTGAGGTTGACAAAACAGTGAAGTATCATCAAAAGGTCCCACGCAGCATAAAGGGCACCTCCCGTATGCATGTTTGCCTGGTCTTGAAGCCCCATGCGTGACCCTTGTATGAATTCCATTCGCGCACAGAGTTCTTGACCTCGATACTGGATATTATTAAGAGTAAGTGATTTTGATTGTATGTACCTAACCATTGCACTCACAAAATATTCAGTTCAGACACAAGCGGCAGAGCAGAACCGGGTTCTTCATTGTGATTGTAGTTTGAATAATGCAATGATTGAAGACGATGGTGATGGCACCCATGGGATGTTGATAGATTGGGGGTTTGCTGTAGACATTGTACGAGGCGATCAGTACGGTGTTGGGGGCATGGTTAGTGTTTTAATTCATTTCTAGGATATGAATTTAAATCAATATCATCTTACAACCTCAGGGCACAGTACCTTTCATGTTGCAGTCCCTTCTCATCCAGCTTTACCTCCACACACCGGATCCATCCGATGAGCGCTTGGGTCACGAGCCTTGGGATCAAAACCATACCCACCCCCCATGGTCACACATGTCTATCAGGATGATCTCGAATCAATGTTTTACATTTTCATCTGGGTCTGTATCGAATTCGGGGCCCTCTCAGCATGAAGTGTGTTCTCCCTACTATTCTCCCACAGTATTCATTACAGCGCGTCAAATGGATAACGCAAGAATGGTCTGCGTCCATGTACCAAAAGTGTGGGGACAGCAAGACTCAATTTTTTCATCAATCTGAACATTACACTAAGGAACTCTCCCAACAATTTGATCCCTACTTCGAATCTCTTCTTCCACTCGCGTTAGAGTGGTATGACCTTGTTAAAAACCCTAATCAGTTGCATTTCGATAACATAATTGATCTGCTGGGTAGACACATTGCTGCACTTCTGAAGGAGGACTCTGCTGGGCTCCTAGTCTCCAAATGGGTAATTCTCTCAGTGGCAGGTTCACTCACGCCACCCCGGAATGATGAGGAAAGTGTGTCACCACCTGTAGATGAGACACGACAGAAGCGAGTGGTTGATCACCAGTGGACGATGGAAGCCATACCCAAGCCGAAGAGGAATAAAACTGAGTAGAGTTTGATCGAATAGTAATACATACCTGACACATTTACATATGTTGATATCCGATACAAGTATGAGTCACATGATATTCCCATTATGTACTTAGTGTAAAATAAAGCATGTATCATTACTACTACCTTCAACATGCTCAGTCACACTCTCTACATGCAGGGCAGTGCTCGACTTATATTTCCAAAAGAAATTACATTCAGCTTCACACGATTCTCTCACGTTACCTGCAAGCACTGGAGATATTCAACATGTATTTGCGATTGTCTAATTATGAGTTGAACTTTTCTGAGCCTTAAAAGTTGGTGTGTATCTCCCAGTGATTTACTTGTACTGATTGTATCACTATTTCTACTCTCAGCATAGTCCAGTCATGCCTCCCCGTGCTAGCCAGAAGAAAACAAAGCATAAAGCTGTGGATTCTGATGGTCAAGCAAACTCTGCAAAGAAGTCGTGTGTGGGGGCCCAGGCATCTGTGGTGTTTCAGGAGCCAATTCTTGCAGAAAAACCGTCAGCTCGACATTCTGGGCATCCTGGGGCAGGAAAAGGAGGTAGGGCAGAGCAGCTGGAAAAAATTGGTGCTCTCTTGGATGCCTCCACACGGACTACTCAGCCCAAGGGCTCCACCTCCCTTGACTTAGATGTACCAACCAATCCTCTTGCACCCGAACCGTCTCATAAGGGTCGTGGCAGTCACTCAAAGGCAAGTCTGTTTTTATTGATCTTAGATGCTAATGTTGAATACAGACAGAAACCTCCTCCACCATATACCATCTCAGAAACAGTGGTCGATCCTGCAACTTCTAAAACAGGGAGGAAGAAAGTTACCAGTAAAGTGACAAAGAACGCTCTCACTCCTACTACTGACGCGGATGCATCGAATACGCAACCCACCTTTTCTCACCGCCAACCTGGTGGCTGGTTCAGCTTTGTGCAGTCTATCATCCCTCCCGGCACAGAGCCCAACTTGCAAGCACTTAATAACCCCTTTGTAGCGGCCGCTAGGGAAAAACATGCTCTGTCAGTTTCCTTGGATCCCAACAGGTGTCTTCTTCCCACTGCCACCTCCAAAAACAATGATTTGGCACAACCAGCACCTTCAAAATCCAGGTCAAGTATGCAACCTAACACTACATTCTACAAGAACCTGGACACTGCTCTATTGTCAGCTGGAGATGTACATTTGGGAGCTGGACATACCGGATCCAAAAGTTCAGAGGCATCTACTGACAATGATGATGATGGAGGTCACGCTGATGACGATGAAGAGGAGGATGAGGATGAGGAAGAGGAAGAAGGCGATGTCAAAGGCCAGGAGGTCAGATGGGGAGCAGCACATGGGCGCCTTACTGCACATCCTGGTAAGTAATTCACTCTCACAATTTTGATCACACTGAGCATGAGACAGGTTTTTCAAAGGAAGTTGAGCCTTCACAACCTTGGGTCACCACTGCTCTTCCAACTGATTTTGAATTTCAACACTCACGCAACGAGGATGATAACATGGCTGAGAAGAATTTAGCAGCTGGCATGTCCAGTGACGATGACAATATGATCCAGGTATATATTATTTGTTTTTCTGGAGTCTGCTAACCTTCTCTTCCTTGAAGCCCACAGAGACTATTCCTGATGATGTTCTACAGCTTCACCACAAGCAAAATGGACATCCTCACCTGCCTGATCCTGTGGTCCTCAATCTTTTGTGTTAGGCTGAGACCAAACCTCCCAATTCCAAGCCGAGTGATACAAATACCAAAGCTCGTAAGGTATCAGCCAAGATAACAGGTGAAGGTCCTAAGGCTATGCAGCTGGGTTAGTATGGTCCTTGTTGGAAGAGGTTCCTTGAGGAAATGAAGGGAGAGTGCCGTGTTCAGCACATGATAGAAAATCTGTTCCTGACCTTTGTTGATGGCTTGTCAGGAACCATCCCTGAGAATCTTACAGCTTCACTTGTACAATGGCTCGAAAGCGGCCAACAAGTCGAAGGCAGTGAGTATTTCTTTTCCCCTTGAAACAGCTTGCTCACTTGTCTATTAGATATTTGGCCTGATTACAAGCCTGAAATGGCCAAGCTGGTGTGTCTGTGTTTTTGGTCGCATGCCTGTATCTGACATGCTTGTTTTTATTTCAGCTGTTTGAAGATCTATTGACATGGTGCTCAGACCTCAAGAAAATCGCCATCAGTATCACACCCTCTATGTACATGTATATATGTATATATTTCACACAGGGCGCAGTCCTTCAAGGTTGACGGCAATGATGTTTCAAAGCATCATCATCTACAGGTTCTGCTTGATTAAGTTCCTTTACTACGAGTCCTTACTTTTAGCATACCATGCATTCATGTTTTCTGCCAATTGAATACATATCACAATTGTTGTCCTATTTGTACATGTGAAGACAGTTGAACAATTGATATGACATTGGCAAACTCTGTACATGTGAAGACAGTTGAGCAATTGGTATGTTATTGGCAAATTCTGTACAAGACCTTCAATCTGGGTGTCTGTGAATGTCTGTACAAAAATTCCCAATGCAATGTAATCTTGTAGTGAACTGTCCAGTAGGGACCAAGCTGTGGCCCTGTGACACTGTACAGAACATTGTAGTTTACTGATGAATGCCTGCCAAATTGCTGCCGACTTCTTCTGATCTTGCACACACACAAGCTCTAGCTCAAACCGCTCCATTGTCCATTTCAGTTTCTCACACGATATGCACGTCATCTGCTTGTATCAGCACTTGAGCAGAAAGGTAGTTTGTCCATGTCCACACTCTGTCATATTGGTCTGGGTTAGGTGTGAGCATGTATCCATATGCAAGAAGAGGCTGAGGGGAAGTCACTTTGAATATAGTTATTGTACACATTCAGAAGCATTAGGTGGTCCCCACCAGTGACAGTAAGCAGCACCTTTGCAGCATCCACCTCTTCTTGTTTGTTACTTGGCCGTAGCCATACATTTGGCACTACAAGAACATCAGATGAGAGCAAACCTCCGAGATGAGTGTGCACCTGCAGTGATGAGTAATGCTTATGTCAGCAGGACAGGGGCTTTTCCGATAATCTGTTGATTCCGGTCTCTCTTTCAAATTTCATCACCATGAATCAAGACATGAAACCCCAATTTCTGTCTCTCGCCAAAGATCTCCATATTTACATTCTGATCTTCCTTCCTTACCAAGACATCCTTCACTGTACGTCTGTGAGCATCAGTTTACTGATCACTCCCAATACTCCTAAGTGGACTTGGACTTATATGCTGAAAGTCATCTTGCAGGTATGCAGAGGCCTTCACCAGATGTACTTGGCATCATCTGAGCTTCAGTACATTGTTGAACTTGGTGGTCAACAATTGCTCCCTGTTGGTGTTGGCCCAGGAGCACACAATGACACTTCCATTCCAGAGCGCCTGCAAGTCCTGAGGGACAAAGCTCATGCATGGTTCAAGTTTGACACTTCCAGTCCAAACAGTCACTGTGTCATACAAGTTTTCAAATGTGGAAACATTTATCTCTAATGGGCATCTCTGCCTTGGCCATGCCAACTTGATGGGCCAAGGCTTTGCCAATATATCTTCAATACTACCAGAGCCCTCAAAACAAGGAATCAACCGTGAATGATGTCCAGAATCATTGCTATCAGTTCCAAATGCACACAACAATGATGTACTCATCAACCCAGAGCAAAACCTAGTTTCTTCTGCATATGTCATCATTGGCAGGTCAGGTGCCTATATTGACCTTTTGGCTTTGGATGGAGATGGTGCCCACCTACCATCAGGAAAAACCTCCTGGCCAAAATTTCGATAATCTTTGATAAAGTCCAATAATTATGTCTAATTAGCAACTTTAGGAAAATTAGGAAAATTATGTAGTTTAGAAGGACTTTCTTACCCCCTCGTAAATTTTGCATAATTATCAAGAATTAGCTGATACTAGACACAATTATTGTGAATTGCAGAAAATGCATTTCAAACTTTGCATTGCAAATCACCCACAATAGTCAGACGATGTTACAAGAAAAAACCATTGATATTTGATTACATAGAATAATAGACACAAAAGTAATTACTGTATAGCTACAATTGACTGCAAATACCTAATCCCTGGCTTAGATAAATCAAAGCCATACCTGTTGCAGCAAGAACGAGTGTGGACAAGCACATACAGGTGTGAATGTGTGGATGAGCATAAGCTAATGAAGCTACATTAGTAAAACACATGAGTGGATTTATAGAAAGGACGTATGGTGACCCCTGGAAGGAGGATCAACACACTGTGAATGGCAGACAACAATGACAATTAGCATGGCTCGAGCTCGAAGGAGGATCAACACACTCACCCATGGCGAATGGCAGACAACGAGTTGGATCAGTGTGGCAGTTGGGCAGTTGCTCGAACGACGATCGATGCACTCACTACCTGCGAATGGCAGACAACGACTTGGATCAGTGTGGCTCTGGCTGGAACAAGGACCGACACACTCACTTCAAACAGATCCAAGCAAAGTTGATATGAACTTGATACCTATTTTGTAGTTACAAATGTTAGATAGAACTTTTTAAAAAACCTAAGACATACCTATCAGCTTAATGATTGAGGCTGACGACGTTGAACATTGAGGAATGAGGGATCGATGTCAGAAGTTCAAAAAGTTTTCAAACCAAAGTCATGCGAGCCAAACAAATACATGCAAATGGTTTGATATCAAACCAAACAGTCACGTGAGTGAAAAAAATATGTGCAAATGATGAACTTCAATGAAATTTGCGCTGTTCCTGCTCTCATGCGTCATTCCTGCTCTCATGTGTCATCTGTATTTGTCTGAGCCACGTTAGCAGTTGCTGACGTGCGCTGGGCATTTGTGCATGGCGTTTGTGGTGTTGGGAATGGCATGGTGGCACTCACCCACATTGGAAGGCTGCCCCTTCCGAATCTAACATACATGTGTCTGAACTCGGTACAGTAGTGTTCCTTCTTTAGAGTCAAAATTTACCACCGCAACCCTCACTTCAATCCAGTGTTCCCTTACTACTCATACATCTCCCTCCACCTCCGCCAATCTCTTCAGATTCATCCCTCTACTCAAGCCACGGCTTTGTCAAAGATCATGCGGAGTGCCCATCTTCTGCTGAATTTTGGTGCCATCGTCCCACGAGAGTGGTCGAGTGATACAGTTCTAGATGGCTATAACACTTTTTGGTTGAACTCGTACAGTGGCTCAAAAAAGTGTCCCAATGTTTGTAGGTTTTCATGTAATTGTGTTATTGTGAGCCAGGGTGTGAGAATCTGACTAAGTCAAAGGGAGGTCCCAAAAAGCTCCGCTTCTCGGCTACAATTATGTCCCCTATAGCGTGAGAATCCATTGACACCGTGCGAAGATATGGCTATTTTAATTAGGTGACTCATTGGGACACTTTTTTGAGTTTCTATTAAAATATGAAAATCAGATCATTTAGACATGACACCATTTACAAATATATATATAAATGGTCCCATATTGACAATATGGTCTCATTTTAATATCCTGTACATATATAAACCCTTCCAATAACATCATGTCCCTCATAATCAGCATGAAGTCTATTTCCTTTTCTCAAAGAGATAATATCCTTTTTCTCTCCACCTCTGGTCTATCTATCAGGCAGATTGCCTCCAAAACTGGTCTGGGGAAGTCAACTATTGCCAGGGTTATCAACCAGAATATTCCCAACAAAGAAAATGTCAAAATGGGTCGTCCTTCTAAACTTACTCTGCATGACAAAAGAGCTCTTGTTCATCATATTATATCTGGAAAGGCCTCTACTGCTGTTCAAGCCACAAAATACATCAATTCCATCATCACTACCACTGTCTCCACTCAAACAGTCAGGAACACCCTCAAGGAAGCCAATCTTAAAGCTGTAGTCAAGAAGAAGAAACCCCTACTGTCACCAGCCCATAGGAAAAGGAGACTAGCATTTGCTTTAAAGCACCAGCACTGGACTATAGAGGACTGGAAGAGAGTTATTTGGTCAGATGAAACTAAAATCAATAGGATGGGGTCAGATAGTCAAGAGTATGTTTGGAAAAAGAAGTGAAAGGTACTCTTAAGTTTGGAGGAGGAAATATGATGGTGTGGGGCTGCATGGGGTGGCATGGGGTGGGAATTCTATGTGAGGTGGAGGGGAGGATGAATGCAGAGCAGTATGTCTCCATTCTGGAGGAGTGTCTGCTCAAAAGCATGCAAGAATTAGGTATTGATGAAGAAGACATTATCTTCCAACAAGATAATGACCCCAAGCATACCTCAAAGTTGGCCACCAAATGGTTTGAGGACCATGATATTACTGTCCTATCATGGCCAGCACAGTCTCCAGACCTCAATCCTATTGAACATCTTTGGGAATTACTCAAGAGAATGCTTGCTGCCTATCAAGACCCACCTAATGGACTATTTCAGTTATGGGAGAGAGTTGTAGTAGAGTGGGGAAAGATTGCTAAGGAGGAGTGTCAGAAATTGATAGAAAGTATGCCTAGGAGGGTAGCAGCAGTCATTAAAGCTAAGGGAGGAAACACTAAGTACTAGAATTATAGAGATTATGTATAATTGATTCAAATTCAAAAAAGTGTCCCAATGAGTCACCTAATTAAAATAGCCATATCTTCGCACGGTGTCAATGGATTCTCACGCTATAGGGGACATAATTGTAGCCGAGAAGCGGAGCTTTTTGGGACCTCCCTTTGACTTAGTCAGATTCTCACACCCTGGCTCGCAATAACACAATTACATGAAAACCTACAAACATTGGGACACTTTTTTGAGCCACTGTATCTAGATAGATAAACTTTCTGTATCTTCAAATAAGTCTCGATAATTCCATTGTACATTATTGTCTTTTAGCCGTTTTATTCCTAATACTTGAAATTAGATAGAATTATCAGAATAACATCGTTTAGATCAATTTATTAAAAATTTTGCCTGGGAGGGTTTCCCTGATGACAAGCTGCTGGACCAACATTGTCTATGGCAGCAGGGCTTCCAGGATGTCACAACCATATATTGCAGGTAAATCAAAGTTGGAGGCTTGACAGTCTGGGGAGGCATATTGTTCTTTGGCACTTCCTGTTACTGCATAATCCAGATAGGACTCTATTCTGGTTGCAGATCTGGGATTGGCAACATTCGACAACATCCAGTGTGAGTGAGCCTTATCATAAAAGACTTGACAATTAATGCTTGGTTTAGAGCATCCTCAGTGACACTTTGTTCACTGATGGGCTTGAGGAATCAGTTGATTCCTGTTTCCTTGGAAATAAC